ATGACGAGTTCGTAAAAAAACATGTTAGCAAACCAACGATATCGTAGTAAAAGTGGGGGAAAAAAACATACCCGCTATGCTCTTCATCCCACTCAGCTGCAGCGTCTCCTCAGCCTCGTCCCCTTGCGCGCCCACCTGCTCCCAGATGTGCGCAAAGTTGCTAGCAAACGCCGGCACCACATAATCGGCACCCGACAAGTCAAACTCGGAAACTTCGTACTCGTCATCATACCCAGTCTCCTCTGGCTCGCTAGTAGTGGGATCAATCTCCTTGCTGGTGAACTTGAGAACGTTGCTGAAGGTGGCGATGGGAAGAGCCCCTTCGCCGTTCACCTTCTGGAACGCAACATAGATCTTGCCTGGCTCATCCGTAGCCAGTTTCTCAGCCTGAATGATAAACACCTCTTGCAGCTCTTCCTCGTCCGAAGGAGTAGCCACAACGGAGACATTTTCTAGTACGGTGTCGGGAAGCGTGTTCTTGACCTCATACTGCAGCACAATGTGCTCCTTGAAGATGTGCTTGACCACGCTGACGACGTACTCGGTCTCGGCCTCCGTGAGCTCCACGACAGGCGAGGATTTGAGCACGGCACCAAACTCCTTGAGCTCTGGGATGGCCAAAAGCTCCTGGGCATACTTTTGCGCGGTAGCCGTGGCAGAAGCCGCGGCGTCGGCCGCCGAGGGAGCAGCCTTGGTGGGGCCGGTCTTTGGTGGCTTGAGCGATGGTGTGGTGGCCGTGAGCTTCTTCGTCCTGTCCTCCGCATCGGCCTGCTCCCGGGTGACAATTGGGATCTTGGAGACGTCGAAAGAGTCGTCAAACACAGACTTGTCATCAGATGTGACGTACATGACGAGCTGGTGCTCAAAGTATGGAAGAGAGAACATGCTGTCGTTCTTGACGAACCTCGTCGCCAACTCATCCTCCTCGTGCATCAGGCTGAGGTTGAGCGCAGCACGATCACGGACCTCATCATCCACATCGTCCAAGCAGCGGGTGAGCAAAACGTCCACACTGCGCTTGACCTCGGGGTCCTTCTGGCCAACACCGAACTTGGCCAACGCGGTGACGGCGGCGGCGCGAACAAGGGCGTTTTCAAGCACAACACGGTTGTAGATGTACCGGATGTACTTGGTAGGCTGCGAGGTCTTGGGGCCTTCCACACCAAGGAGATGCAGGATGCGAACAGCAAGCTTGGTAAACTCACAGTCCTCGATGAATTCGCACAGATGGGCGAGAGCCTCCTCCTTTGATTCGGGGACAAACTTGATCAGGTCAAACATGCTCTCCACCACGGCGCGCTTGAACTCATAGCCACCCTCATCGCGCAGGACGCCGCTGAGGAACTGGAGCATGCCGGCCTGCTTGCTAGGGAACTTGAGGCAAAGCGTGCGGATGGCCTCCACGATGGTAATCTTGAACTCATCCGTGATCTCAGACATGAAGCCGGAGATTTGCTTCATGAGACGATCCACACTAGCCTCGTTGCCGGTCTTGAGCAGGGTGGTGATGGCGAAAGTAGCAATGGAACGGTTGCTGTTGGAGATGAGGAGCTCGATGTCGGGGTTGCAGACGTTGACAACATTGGGCTTGAACGAGGCGATGTTGTGCAGAATACGAAGAGCCGCAAACTTGGTGACAGCGCGAGGAGAGGTGAGGAAGAGCTGGAGGACGTGGACGGCCTGCGAAACCTCGGCGTCGGTGACATCCCGCATGTCGCAGATAGCCTTAGCCGCCTCGAAGTTGACCATCTCGCTCTTATGTCTGAGCCAGCCATCCAGCAGCTGCATCATCGGCCTCCTGAGCTGGGCATCCTCCTCGGCCAGCTGGGCGGCAAGACGGACGAGCATGACGATGGCGGCGGGGTTCTTCACAGCGCCGGCCGCACCGAACTGCTGCACCATCTTCACCAATGCCATCCTGTCGTGCATCCTCATCTGGTACAACAGACCGATAGCGTGGTACTGGGTCATCGTGGAGTTGTTCACGGGAAGGTTGGCTGAAGACGAAGAGAAGCCGAGCGAGAAGCCACCGGACGACTTGGTGCTAGCAGCCGCCTCCTGGGTCTCGCTTTGCCATCTCTTGACGACTTCTCTGGCGATGGGGAGGAGGTGGTACGACGAAACGAGAGCGGCAGAGGAAACGGTGGGGTTCTTGTCGACGATGGCAGTTTTGAGGACTCGCTCGATGGACTGGACAGTGGTAGCCTGTTTGGTTAGGAGTGTTAGCCAGCTGGGCAGAGACACTTGGACGCCGCAGCTCGTACATCAATAATGCGGCAGAGCGCTCTGATGGCATTTGGGCGATAGATGGCATCCGTACTGCCTCCAGTATCCTTCATGATGGTGCTCGTGACCATGATGATGTCCTCGGCGGAGCTGGCGAGCTCCTTGATGATGAGGTGGACCATCTGGCGCAGACTGGCATCTTTGTTCTGGAAGAGCTTCGAGATGCCGAAAAAAAGAGTGGTTGCTTCCGTGGTAGGGAACTTCTCGCCCGTGTAGAGGAGCAGGCCGATCTTGGTCAAGAGAATGCGGCATCTTCGCGGTTGGATGGGGGAGCTGTTGAACAGTCGAGCTGCGGACCGCCAGTTCGTAATTAGCTGATGGCCACTGCACAACACAACGGCAGCGGTTGATTCCTACCTTCTTGGAAAACCTGGGTCCGGTCAATCTTGACCAGACCAGTATCGGCATCCTCGTCCTTCTTCCCGTAGCTCATGGTGGGCAGAACGAGACGGTTTGCGCTGGTAGAGCTGTGTGGAAGTCGGGCTCAGCAGTTCGAAATCCAACTCGCGACGTTGCCAATTCATGGATGGCTTGCTGGCCAATGCCCGCGCCATTCAGCGGCCACCGAACCGCCCCCACAGCCCAGGGGGTGACAATGAGACGCACAGACCAGCCCCCCAGCTGCCATGTTGCGAATTGTGGGGTCACGTGCACGCCCCTTTCGACGACATCAAACAGAGCATTGAACTTGTAGATTAGGGAACCGTAGGTGGCCAGCATGTCACGATGCAGTACCGAGTACAGTTGTACAAATAGCCATGTTGACTACTGTTATTCCGACAAGAAGCCCCACAAACACTGTAACTCCTAGCTAAACTATCAAACCCCAAGTTTTCCCACCCAATTTTTGGCTTCCTTGATGGTACAAACTTTAACAAACAATGATACTCGCTGCCTCTCCAGTCCGCATAAAGTTGACGGAGATACTACCGATGGTGCCCATTAACGTTATTCAACATCTTTTCTCGCCCAACGGTTCCCATGTAAAAAACTTTAAAAAAAACCAAAAAAAAAAAAAAAAAAACCTTCATAGTAGTTATAACCAGAGGATTGGCGGCAGACCACCGGTCATGGAGGGGATAAGTCGACCCTAGTTGGGCTCACCAATGTTCGACGCCCACTGTGCTATAGAATCTGCGTCCTAGACAGTTGTAAGTGGCTGCAGGTCCGAGATCACAGGCTGAGCTTCGGCAGAGGCATCCATCGCCGGGTCGTGTACCGGGTCAGCTTCGGATTTACCGTGCTCGGAAAACCCATTATCTTGCATGCCATCTTGGCTGACATCCATACCGATATCGTTGCCCTGCACGCCATGCACAGCACCTTGGAGAAGTTGGGGATCGTGGGGCGGGGGAGGAGGAAGCGCGTCCATCTGCGCAACAGGTGCCGCATGGGCCGCGGCGGTGACGGAATCGCCAAATTCCGTGTTGATTGGATGGCCGTTGGCATCGAGATCAGATTCTTTGCGGTCGGGGTTCTTGCCGCAAGCTTTGACGGCTTCTCTCTCTTTCTTCCCCAGCACGACGAGATCAAAGCCCTTGGGGAGAACGCCATCGACCCTGGAGAGAAATGAAAGTTAGTAATCTGTGGCAAGGCATTGTGCTGATCACCATGACAGGCTGGCTTACTTGAGGAAATCTTGCTTGAGCAAGCGCGCCTTGTCACGAAGGGCCTGCTGATCCCGAGGACGCTCGAAATGAATATTTCCCTCCTTGATTTGCTTCTCGATAACACTCCACTTGCAGCCGTATGTATGAACAGCCTTGACCAACTCCCGAACATCATTCCGCACCCAGGCAGAGCGCACTTGCGGCTCTCTGGCCTTCCGATTGGCAGCCGATATCTCCTTGGATCGCTGAGTGAGAGCATCAAAATCGGGCTCTAGCTGAGTACCGGGGAGAGGGGGGTACTGAATGGGAGCTGCCGGCTGGACAGGAACGACTTGGCCGTTGGCAGACGGGTCGGACTCTGCATCGGCATTCTTCTTGCGTCTAGCACGCTTCTTCGGCTGAGTATTCTCCTGGTCACCGCTGGCATCCGCAGCAGCTGCCCCGCGTTTCTTCCTACCGCCGGTTGTCGTCGTCACCTGTGCGGCAGACTGAGCGTAGATAGCTCCGTTCTGGAAACCGCTTCGCGGCACCTGATCACTGAATCCAGGGCTCGACTCTTGGCTAAACTCCGGATAGGGGATCCTTGGGTAAGTCGGCAATGAGGAAGGGTAGCCGACGTTGTATGACGAAGCAGGATCTTGAGCCATTTCGGCTTCCAGTTGGGTTTGAATCTGCGAATCAATCCTACTCGCATCGGATGACTGGCCAGGCAGAGGGAGTTCCGCAGCATCCAAAGCCTCCTTGGTACGGAGGAAGCTGTCCTCGACCAACGCGCGGAGATGTTTGACAAACTCAGAGAAGTCATAAGTGGACTGAAGTTGGTTGAGTGCTTGGTCGAAAGCGTCTTCGGTACCAGGCGTCAAATGTTGATTGAGAAAGTGCTCGCACAGCGATCTGAGCCGCGTCCACGCTCTCTCGCTGTGCAGCGCTGAGTCGGGGTCTTCAGGGTCAACAGGTTTCAGTTGAAGCTCATCCTGGTTTCCTCCCAAGGCAGCTTCCACTTTGCTGGCCGAAACATCCTCGCCGCTCCAAATCTTGGCAATCTTTTCGTATGGATGAAAGTCGATGGAGCCATCTTGTCGGAACTTCTTGAGGGTGAAGATTGAGAGCTGCGTCCGAATATCGATCACCATCTCAGAAACACCCGCAATGTCCTGGTCCTTTGGTATGTAAAACTTGGGGAAGTCATCCTCCCAGGACTGAAGGAGAGGCAAGTAATCCTGCTGCTCCGTTGTCTGGATGTCTTGAAGAAGCGCGGCGAGATTGGCGAGGTAAACAGTCCGGTAAGCCTCGTACCATGCTGGAGTGCCTTCGTGGTGCCCCATGGCTTCAAGAACAAAGGAGGGATCGATGGTAGGCTCGCTGTTCTTACCAACGTAAACCCTCCGGAAAGCATCATAGATAAAGCGGATCTGCTCATGGGCTTCCTCCCATCCCTCATTGTCTTGATCAGTGCAGAGATGCTCAAAGAACTCGACGCTTGTGTTTTTGAGGTCGCGTAATCTGCGGGTCATGAACACAGTTTGACGCGCCCGCTTGCCAGGGGTCTCGTACTTCACAGAAAACGGGACACTTGTGGCTCGAACTGGCACATTAATTGGGCGTATGGGGGTTCCCGGAGCAGCACCTGGGAGTCCGGTAGTGTCTAGAACATTGTCAGCAACCAGCTCCTCAAACCCAATCTAAAACAATAAGAACAAACTAGGAAATATGAAGTTCAAATCGAGGTCGGCGCCTTCGACAATGGGAGAACCGGGCAAGCTGGCCAACTCACTCAGATGATCCGCCTGGGATGTCATTGCTGTGTACACAGAGTCACTGACAGCAACGCTGTTGAGGCTTGCCAGACTTCCGCCGCGTTCACTTCGGGGAGCGCCTCTTCGTGAGAACTGGTACACGCTTGGACCTTGGACATTCTTAATGCCCGGAGGCGGGGGGGGTCCCATGAGCCCATCCTGAGACGGAATGGCTTGGTTGCTCTGCTGAGCAGGAGACTGGGTGTTGATGCTTGGGGTGGGCTCACTTTGTTCTTGCTGCTGTACGGCGGCCTGTCGAGTCGAACGCCGGGCGCGACCTGCACCTGTGTCGGTGCCAGCGCCACCTCTGCCGCGACCTCTGCCACGTCCAGACATGTTTTGGACTGATGACAATTGCTGTTTCTCTGCAATCGTGGCTTTGATGACAGTCAGTAAAACTGTGCAATAGAGAAGGGTTGGGGTTAGGGTTACCAAGAACGAAGTCGTGAGGTTGTTGTGAAATCCCACGCGTTGGTGACAAAAGTCGTGTTGGCGCGCTGCCAATGCTGCTGGCCAAAAAGGCCTTGGCTCTCAGTTGGGCTACTCGATCCAATGTTTCACGTGATCTCCTTAACGCACGGACTTGTTAAAGGCACGAGCTTCGAGGTTGGTGGGCTCGGTCGCCGCACGGACCATACATTGTTGTGGTGGAAGGTTGGGTGAGAAAATGGTCTTGCAGCTGGGTGGGAAAGTCGCTTTGGGGGTGTAAGTTTCTGCTGCGAGTCAAAGAGTTTAGAGAACAGCTTTTACACCTACAAAATGAAATCACGAAATTTGAAGAGTCAGAAGCGGATCCATGGTCACCGCCTGGCATGTTGCTTTAAGGGTTAGGGTTAGAAGCTGCTTTTGCTCCGTGGCTGAAACCTGAAAGCATGTCATGGACTGAACACAACAAGTCTTGCAAATCTGCCTGAGCAAAACCTCTCTTAAAATGTTTCAAAAGAAGCTCCAAGATCATAGTCTATGCAGATACTAAGTAGCCCAGATCTCAAAACATAGCCAACTGGCCTGGAAAAGTCAATAGTTGACCAGGCTGCAAAGATAGCAGACAAGTAGGGACCCCCGTGGCTGGTATACCTACGCTTACACTGACGACGCTGTCTCGACCAATGATCTGATCACGTAATTCAGATATGGACATTTCCCACCCAAATGTTACCCTCTATGCTGTTGAGCCCCCCTGAGTGGTAGAGAATCTAGATTCGAGTGGCTGTGCGGTGAAACACCCTTTCCCGTGCAGCCCGCTAAGAAATTCATCCCCAGAAAACCCCCTGGCAAGGATCCGCGCAGGCCAGCATTCCAACAACCTCGCCTCAACTTTTCCATCTCTACAGTACAACCGTTCTCGTGTTTGCTGCTGGCTTCTAACCCGCAGCTCGTTCTCTTTCTCTTCTGACAATCCCTTGTGTATACCTTTTTCAGCAGAAGACAACATAATCATAATCGCAACAACTGCAACACGCGGCGGCATCGACACGGTTTCCCGACCTTACCTGCAGCACGTAGGCCCCCGATTTGCGCCATACGACAAAAGCCACGGCATAACGGTTTTCGGCCTTCCTTCGTTGCGATCACAGTAGAACGTTGGCAGTCACACCACGACATACAAAATAGAACTAGCATTCCCTTGCTGTCACGTCTTTAGCCCACGATGAAGCTGCGTCATAAGCAATCGCCACTCCTTCTCCTGCTCCTACAGTCCCTTGCCGCAACCGCTGTTCTCGCCGAACGACAGCTGGATAGGGACTCGGTTGCCGCCGACTCCTACAGATCAGACCCCATCATCGACACACCAGCAGCCGTCAAAAAGTATGGTACCAAGGATGCGCCGATTGACGGCAAGGACGGGAGGCCCCATGCCGGTCCCTTCGTCGAGCTCGACAGCGCATCCGAATCCTCCGAGTTGCCTGTCCTGAAAGACCGGCCGACCGATCCTACAATCATTGACGGAAAGAAGATCCCGGACAGCAACGACGGAGTCATGGATGACAAGAATCGATCGGAGCCCAAGAAGGGCACCACGGGATTGGAGGGCGGCGTGAGCGAGAAGGACAAGGAGCGGAAGCTCAAAGAGCAGACTGGCGAAAAGGTTGAAAACAAGCCCCAGGCACCAAAGGAAGCACCTCCCCTTCCACACGCTGACCAGGAGAAGATCCTGGCCGCAGCTGGAGATGGCGAGGGCAGAGATAAAACGTCAGAGGATGTCTCCGGTCTCGAGGTTGGTTTTCAGTATAACCTGGTCAATATCCACGTGATTGCTAACAGTGATTTAGAAACCGGCAGACCTTCCCGAAAAGACCCACGACAAATCCCTTCCTTTGCCTGATTCAGCCGCCAACATCGACCATCTGGACATCACCAAGGGGAGCAAGGGCCAGAGTTCGGGCTCCAGAGACGATGAAGCTGAAGGCCTTATTCGACCTTTCCACTCGTTTGTCCTGTCTCTCACCATGATTCTCTTCTCTGAAATTGGTGACAAGACGTTCCTTGTTGCTGCCTTGATGGCGATGAAGCATGACCGGATGGTGGTCTTCACGGCCGCTCTCAGCGCCTTGGTTGCCATGACTGTCCTCTCGGCCATGTTGGGTCACGCCGTGCCTGCCCTAATCTCGGAGCGTCTGACGCATTTCCTCGCCGCTGCGCTCTTCACCGTCTTCGGTGTCCGACTGCTGCGTGAAGGTCTTGCTATGAGCCCGGACGAGGGTGTTTCCGCCGAGATGCAGGAGGTCGAACAAGAGTTGGCAGAAAAAGAGCAGGAGGCCAGAAAGCACGGTCGTAGAAGATCAAGTGTTTCACCGTATGCTCTGGAAATGGGCCTTGGCACTCGCAAGTCCCGATCCAAGTCTCGCTTCCCCACTCCTCCTCGCAGCCCTTCGAGTTCGCCCGAGAGCCGCAACCGGTCTGGTCGTAACGCTCTCGGTGGATTTGTATCTGGCTTGAGCAATCTCTTTTCGCTGCTCCTGAGCCCTGCGTGGGTGCAGACCTTTGTCATGACTTTCCTTGGAGAGTGGGGTGACCGCAGTCAAATTGCTACCATTGCGATGGCGGCTGGTCAGGATTATTGGTGGGTGACTTTGGGTGCCGTCTTGGGCCATGCCTGCTGCACTGGTGTTGCAGTCATTGGAGGCAGAGCCATTGCCGGCAAGGTCAGTCTCAAAGTTGGTAAGTTGCGTCCCCAAATATTCGTCCCATACGTGACTCTTGGCTAACACATCACACAAAGTTACTGTTGGAGGCGCCATCGCGTTTCTGGTATTCGGCTTCATCTACTTCATTGAGGCCTTGTACTCCTAGGCCGACAACATGATCGCGAATGTAGCATCTTGGCTGTGCCAGCTGCTTCAGCTGCATCAACCCCACGACAAACCCGGGCGGTAAGCCGTTTCTTCGATATTTGTTGTAATCACACATTCGCACATAAAACGAAAAGCATATTTTTCAATTCTACGCTGGACAACTCAGCAGTTAGGGACGTTTACTACTACCGATACATGGGTTCTGTATTATACTAGACGCTAGGGAGGACAACTTGGACTGGGTGTTGGTTGAAATCTGTATTTGGCGAGAGTTCTCTTGGATGGGGTGGAGGACACCTGGAGGCATGGCGAAGGGAAAGCACGGTAGAGGGAAATGATTCATAATGTTTTCTCTTTGCATCGTCATGTTATGCTTGAGGTTTACACTCGTCGTCTTCAATGCAGTGATCGACTCATCTGGTCCCCATGGAACGCTTGGGCCACCTCAGGAGGAAACGCACCGGGGTTGGGGGCAAATGTGGGTCCCCATTCCCGACAGGAAGGTGCCAAGTGTGGAGCTGACCGTTGAAGGAACAAGCTGCCAAGAACGTCATGGAAAACCAATGACGACATACATGGCAGTCACCCGAACCACAACAGGAGCTTGCAGCTCAGCTTTTGTTGGCTACAAAGGTGATTTCTTGTCTCTAACAATTGCTTCTGCTTTTCCTCAAAATGTTGACAGAGATCACGACCACCCCGAGTCCCATACCTTAAATTTCTTCCCAAACAACTCTTTAAAAAGCACCTACACGACTCCCCTCCAGACATCATCAACCTCGATAAGTCGCGATAACGATAAGGATAACCACAACATCCGACACGACCCAGACAAGATGCCCAACCGACTTGTTGAACAGGCCCAGGAGGTCGCGAAAGAGGACATCGACAAATACAAGGCCCTTCTGAACGATGCTGCCAGAAGCCGGTCTTACTTGTATCCCATCAAGGGGATTTTCTACTTCATGTCCCATCGCGAGCTGTGGAAGCCCCTGGCTTCGAAGCTGGTACCTTACCTCGGGCTCTATGCTTCAGTCATTGGACCCATGTTCTTCTTCACATATCTCCCTCAGTTGGCCATCATGGTCTTCGTGAACGGGCCTCTCGCTGTGCTCACAACTATCCTTCTTGTCCTCAACGAGAGCGCAGCCGTTGTCTCGATCCTCTCGAAAAGCTTGCTGCTCCAGGACGCGCTTCTGGACACATTCGACGGTACACTGATCGCGAAAAACAAGACAGAGATCGTTGCAAATGGCAGAGAGGTTAACTCTCGGGGAGACGCTATTCAGAAACTGGGCAAGGCACTGAAGAAACCATTCAGCAAATTCAGCGTTAAGGAGCTGGTTCGATACTTCATGTACTTGCCTCTCAACTTTATTCCGATTGTTGGAACAGTGGCCTTCATCATTATCCGCGGCCGCGCTCGTGGCAACTCTGTTCATGATCGGGTTAGTGGAAACATCTCTTACCCACATACCTAACTCTCGCTTACATGGCTTCTAGTACTTCCAACTCAAGGGATGGTCTGCATCCAGAAAGTCTGAGTGGCTCTCAAAGCATAAGGGCCCCTACACTGGGTGAGTTTATATCTCTTCCCAGACGCCTCCGAAAGTCTTGGATTCATGAAGCACAAATCGCTTCGAGAGCGCACATGTCGGCTAAACTATCCACCTGCGACACTCTGACGTACCACGCACAATTTGAGGCTTTGGTTTGGCTAACCATGACTGACGTTACCAGTTTCGGAACTGCTGCCACCCTTCTCGAGATGGTTCCGGTGGCCTCCATCGTCTTCTCGTTCACCAACACAGGTAGGTCTCTTGGAAATGGAAACCTAATGTTTATTGCTGACATCTTATCTAGTTGGCGCTGCTCTCTGGGCCGCTGATATCGAGGGCAAGGATACCGAGATGACCAAGGCCACAGCCCCCGAACTCCGGGAGGCGGCCAAGAAAGTGGAGTGAGATCTGGACTCGTGCAAAGGGCCGAGATTACCTGATCGACCAGGGCCCGGTCACACAGTCCCAACGGTGTTCCTTTCAGCATGATACAGAGAAACCCATGTGAAGGTGAGGGCGGCATTTAGGGGAGCAGCATCGATAGACGGTGGAGCACGACATTTTGACAGCGCAGCATGCCGTGCCACCCTTTCGACGCTCGGAAATGGCGAAGCTTTATCGGCGCTGGAAGTTCCAACATTGTTTCATGGTATCCAAGCTTGCGTGGGATTTCTTCTCACAGGGTTGAGGTGGTCAAGGAGCTCAAGGGCATGGATTTGATGGTTCTTAATTCGTCTTAGTTTGCATTACGGAAGGCGTTCTCCGGCATTTTGCCTGCAGGTTTTCAAAGAAGGATGCTCTGTCTTTTAATTGAACGTTGTTTTGCACATGCTGTCTTGTAGGCTGGGCTTCAGGACATCCAGGTGAACACAATTAAAGACAAAAAACGAGCCAGAAGAATAGGCCACAGTGTGGACCTACATTCGGTAATTGAGGCCGTAGTAATGAGCAATTGAGGTTTCCAACGACTACAATGCAGAATTGCACACATCCCACGGCGACACTCGGATAATTGATGGCCTTTTCCATGACACAGCAATACACAGCACTTGTGAGATATGCTGCCATCTCAGCACACATTGAGAATTCAGGCACCGCGAAACAAAGTGCAACCCAACACCAGGAACAAGCAATCTAGTTGTACGGCAGCTTGCATATAGCGATCCCTGTCAAGTAACCATCGACAAGCTCTGGCGTGATGCAAGCACGACAACAGATACCTGTAGTACTTCTTCGGCACCTCTTATCTTAGCTGACAAGCTCTGTCAGGAGCTACAGCACCGGGGCAGCTTCAGTTCTTTCACCGATGTCACCAGCTCCCGGCCTGAGCAACTCGGGAAGTCCCTTGGTACTCATCCAAAGGCTTGAAAAGACTGATATGATGTTCCATAAGCCTGCCACCCCTCAATATTGACAGAGCTGATTGTTACCACACATGATACCAGACGAGGCGGAACAAAGACGTTACGTCGACGGGGCACATACCTCTGGAAGGAACCGTATCCGACCGGGGAACATGTCTCTCTCTCTCTCTCTCTCTCTCTCTCTCTCTCTCTCTCTCTCTCTCTCCATCCGGGGTGAACAAGTTTCACTTCATGGTTGTGGGCTTTTTGGGATGAACAGACTCCCTTGGAGAAAACAGGCAGAAACAACCGATATTATGGACCAGAGCTAGGATTACCGGTCACCGGGATAATCAGCAACCCCAGCATCAATCAACTGACTGAAGCTGCCATGTGATTTCAAGACAGGCAAGGCGTGGCTGACAGAGCGAACCTCCCACCCAAACAAGCATTAGAGAAAAGAAAACAAGACGTCGGGGATCGGGAAGGCCTGACAGCGGCAGCTCCCACAATGGGCGGGTGTTCCCAATCAGCTACGGTTTCTCCCTCTTCTCTGTGTGCCATCTTGCCAACAGTTGCGTTCACTTGCCTTACTCTGCGCAGGAGCAAACAGAATCCTGGGCGGGGCTGCCCAAGGTGCACCCGCTCAGCCATCCACTCGCTGTTCCCGTCTCATCCAAACCCTCCTCACCGCTTTGAGGAGAGTGAAAGGCCACCGCCATCACCATCATCACAGAGGACATGGATTCTCCAGAGTCACCCAAGAAGTAAGTCAGGCCGATTTCAGATGGATTCTCTGTCGCTCCAGGCCGAAACCGAGTGTTAGACAAAGATCCAGAGCAGGGGGGCATGAGAAGACTTCATTTCGAGTCTCTGCCGTTAGGGAGGTATTGCATTATCTCCAGCATGTGTCCACATCTGATGCTAACACATTGGACATGCATACTTCCTTCTCTCCAGTCCCATCCAAGCTGTTCCAGGCAGCACAGGCATGCTCCTTCCATCCTGAGCAGAAGGACGGAACATCGGGAGGCCGGGGACTCGACGGTTCCCAAGAGCGGAGCCCCTCGTCCTCTTCGCCCTTTCCCGCCCCAGACAAGACCGATATCTCTCGTTCCATGTGCTACTACCTAACCTGACGCCATTCTCGGGCGACGTTGAGGAACTTGTCCCGCTCCAGGTTCCATCGCCCCTTCCACTTCAGTTCAGACACCCTGATAGATATGAGGTGGCAGGCAGAATGTCGGAGATTTTCTCTCGAGTCTCGCTGATCTCAGGGGTGTTCCTGCTATATCTGTCGTTGTTCCTCATTTCGCGGGTCCGCCGTCTCCCGCTTCCCTCACCCGCTCCTTCCCCCCATTGCCTCCTACTCCACGTTCCAGCCGGCTTTTGTCTTCTCGTATCATTTCGGCGGCCTTCTGATCGTTCCTCGCTGGGGCTTGCCTAGGTATCATTCACCCCCTCCCACATCATCACCATCGATAGGGGCAGAGGAGCATACCCCGAACACGTCGTTCATTCTTGAATCTTTGCCAGCACCGCTAGGTCAACAGATCTTCGAAGAATCGAATCTCAAACTTTGTTCTGCCATACCCTTTTATTCTTTGCTATGACATAGTTCATGACTTTGCCGCATGCTTTGCTTTGCCGTACCAATCAAGGATAGACACCAGACCCTCTCGTGCATCCAGCCTGCCCCGAACAAGTATAGCTTCTCTCACGAGCTGTTTCTTGTAGGGGTCAACTTTCATCAACCACATACCGCCGAGTATCAGGCCCCCGACAGTCTTGCTTCCTCACAAGGATGAAGGCTTCAGCCGTGGTTGTTGGCCTTGCTTCGGTCATTACCATTCTCAATTCGACGCCTCTCACATTGGCTCGTGAGGATGGCGGTCTGTGGTCACGTTTCAGACGGGCAGTTGGACTCCCTGCTGTTCCCGAGGTGGGAATATCACATGTGAGCTATGAGCGTTTGGTGCCTAGGCAAGATCCAGGAGAGGATGGTGGGAATGGTGGGGATGGTGGTGGAGATGATGGCGACGATGAGGATGGCGATGATGATGGTGAATGGACGGATGATGGTGGTGATGATGATGGTGACGGTGTCGATGATGGGGATGATGGGGATGATGGAGATGATGGGGTTGATGGGGATGATGGTGATGATGAGGAGCCACTGGGATATGGGCCCCCTCCGCCACCTGTTTCAACTACCAGTGGGGGGTATGGCTACACTACGCCTGGTAAGTTCTGCGTTTTTGTTTTGTTGTGCGATCATGGATCGTGTGCTGCTGTGAATAGCTTACTGACCTTTGATGGACATATAGGAAACCCTTATGACACCACTGGTTCGAATGAGCCGGAGAAGACGACATCGTCAAATGAGTACACTTTCACCACTCCAAGCTCGACTGGGGGGTATACGTTTTCGACGTCCAGCACGGAATCTTCCGAGAGCACATCTCCTTACCCTATGACATCGACTACCTCGGGCGTGTCTTCCACATCTACGGAGGGCACCCCTACGTTTACGACAAGTTCGGAGACATCAGCCAGCGCATCATCCTCTCCGAGTGTTACGCCTTCTCTCGGCTCCTTTTCGGTGACAGGGTCGCTTCCACCTGAATCGTCAACACCTGTCTCGATTACTAGCTCTGTGTCGTCTAGTGCTTTGACCAGTACATTGTCTGGATATTCAACCGGGCCTTCGAGTGAGAGTCCTTCTGCTTCTTCCGGTGGCCCAACATCGAGCACAGGCTCAGCATCGGCAGGGATCTCTACCGGCAGCAGTTCCGGGACTTCTTCCGTGCCATCATCTGTTTCTTCAGTCATTAGCTCGGTCTCAGGTCCAAGTTCTGTTCCAATCAGTCTTTCAAGCACATCAGGGGTTAGTTCCAGTGAAGTACAAACTGCAGCATCCAGTCTTAGCAGTGGTTCGATGGAACCAACCGGGTCTTCAACAACTTTGATCAGCTCATCTATAGTCGGGAGTACAGAATCGACCACGTCGGGCACAGCAACGACGGCTGCGACCACAAGCTCTCCGGTGTCACCATCATCCACTTCTCCTAATGAGACGTCGAGTAGCACAACGGCCGCAAGCGAATCTCAGTCAACAAGTGCTTCTGCGGTGCTGACAACAACCGGGACTGTGACACTGACAGCGACTGGTACATTTATTTCGATCTCAGGTTCACTCTCCATTGTGTCGCCGAGCACCTCGACCTTGTCTACCGAGTCCGCTTCCGAGACGCCAATAAGCACTGGCAGCAGCCGCACTGGGACCGCCGCTTCATTGTCGACAACCTCTGTTGAATCGTCAAGTTCTCTTTTGACTAGCGAAACAGGAGGCTATCCTACGTCTTCGTCAAGCCAGCCCTCAGGATGGAACTCGACAGCCACAACCGCCCCAACTGGGTCCGGTGGAAGCTCTACGGTTCCAGGTGCCAATACAACACAGAGTGAAATCTCTTCCGTCACTCTTACGCCATCCTTGGCTGGCTCAGTCTCGATCAGCACAATTTCGCTCGGAACTTCTTCGTCAGTACTCAGCAGTTTGACCAGCAGCATTCCCTATGTCAACACAACAATTGGTGGTGCATCAGTCACAACATCGTCGTTGCCATCGTCAAACAGCTCAGTATCAGTGCCAGAATCTAGCACTGGAACTTTGCCGTCTACAAGCACTGCACCATACGGATATAACACCACGTCTTCAACAACGGGAGTTGAGGGTTCAGTAACTGCTACATCCTCGTCATCGGCAGGTCTCTCGACCTCGACCTCTTCGGTTCCCGTTCCAACGACATATCCTTATACCAACAGCTCCTTGCCTTTAAGTGAAAGCTCAACCGCCTCTGAACCATTTGCACCCTTTGGTCCTGGAACGTCTCGCCCTGCAACAACATCGGGACGCTCATCTTCCTTCTCAAATGTGACTGGCACTTCAACGTCTGGAGGATTGCCTTCAACATCTTCATTTGCCACTGTAACATCTTCGTCTTCAGTCTCAGTGACAACACTGCCTTCTGGATCTGGTACCAGTTTTGGTTCAGCTGGTCCAACTGGCTCATCTTTGCAACCATTCCCGTCCGGCAATTCGAGCTCCAGCCTTCCAGGCTCCGCTGGTCCCAGCACAGCTTATCCATTCACCACGCCAGGAAATGCCACCTCGTCTACCGTGTCAAGCACAAGCAGTAGTACATTGCTATTTCCAACTTCATCGACTGGATCCATCCCATTTGGCACCGCCACCTCTTCGCAACCGGGCACCTTACCTACAACTTTTGCGTCTGGGACCAGTGTTACAATACCATTTCCATTTCCAAACTCTACAGAATCCGGAGGCAGCACCAGCATTGGAAGTAACGGCCCTGGTCCAACGCCATCAAGCTATGGGACATCAACTGGAATCTTTTCTGGGCTCTCCAGCGTGCCAATCGTGGTATCTCCCTCGCCAGGTTCGACTAGCCTTGTGGGCACAGAGACCTCTGGTTTTTCAGTGCCTGCTTCGAGCTTCGGATCATCGTCGGTGCCTTATCCACTTCCAAACAGTACTATCAGCTCTGGTGGCACTGTGCCTGGGTCAGGGGTGGGCTCTTCAACTGCAACCCCATCATCTGGATTACCTGTAAGCTCGCCGTCTCTGTCGTCTAACGGCTCTGTGCCTGTGAGCTCCAGTAGCCCTGGTGTGCCGACAATTCCACCGGTGCTGTCATCTTCGCTTCCCTTTCCTTTGCCAAATAGCACATCAACCGTCGCCGGCCCTGGTACTGGTAACTCGCCTACTGGGACGACACCCCCTATCAACACGCTTTCGACCCTCACACCTACTGCGTTGCCGACAACATCGGCCCCATATCCTACTGGAAATACTACAGTCCCATCTGCGATCCCCGGCACGAGCGGTGCGCAAACAAGTACGGTATCCAAAGGCATCTCTTCTTTGACGGGCAGTCTTTCGCCGTCTGTTCCTTTTCCATTGTCAAACTCCAGCTCATCAAGCTATTACTTTCCTACGGGCACTGGTTCTTCTGGAGCATCATTGCAACCAACCTCTTTATCTTCTCCGTCCTCAACTTCATCTGGTGTTCCAGGAACAAGCACTCCATCCGTCTCGAGCCCCAACGGCACCTCACTAACATCAAGTGCGCCGTACCCAACCGGGAACTTCACTACGACGCCAAAACCAACAGGGACAATCCCAGGCACAGGGAGCTCTGGTCTACCATCAAGTCTTTCAACATCAACCCCGAGCTCTCTTTCTTATCCATTTGCAAATTCTACCACCATCGTCGGTCCTTCGGGAACAAACCCGATACCCGGGACCGAGAGTTCACTGACTGTGCTGTCACCTGGAACATCAAGTGGAACAGCACCAGCCGTGTCGACTGGAAGCGGAACGGCGTCATATCCTTGGAGCAATTCGACTGGAGTAACAAGCGGACCATCAGGAACAGGCTCAACGTCTGGCACCGCAAGCGAGACTTACATTCCGTTGACGAATATCACAGCCTCAATCTCGGGGACAGAAATTGTCACAACTGCATCATCGAGCGGAACTGCACCGTCCGGTCTTGCATCTTCGGCCATTGGCACCTCGTCTGTGCCATATCCGCTCACAAACACATCTGCTTCGTCCCCGGGCCCAAACTCGCCTGGGACTAGTCCCATCGGCCCTACCAGTTCTGGAATATTTGGAAGCACGGTCACGAACTCTGTCCCTCCTTTCCCTACTGGCAATTATTCAGTCCCATTTGGTACAGTCACAGCCCCAGGTAGTATCAGCACGGGCGGCTTCTCAACGCTGCCAACGGCTTCATCCAGCTCGGTAGCTAGTCCAGGACCTTCCTATCCCCTGGGAAATTCAAGCACGACGATTGAACCAACCGGATCAGGGTTCTCAAGCGGATCGAGTCCTTTATCAACGAGCTCTTCTGGCCCTTCCTCCAGTTTGCCTCCTTTTCCACAGTCGAATTCATCATCCACTCCACCGACAGGCTCCGGACTGTCAAGTGGTGCCATCCCCTCGTCTGGTTATGGTTCCTCGACCGTGCCTCCTTTCACATTCACCAACTCTAGCTTCACTGCAGAGCCCACTGGTGCGCCAGGGTTATCTACCGGGGCAACTGCTTCATCTGGATCAACAATTCCTTCTCCCTCCGGCAGCTCGACGAGTCTTCCACCCTTCCCACTGCCCAATTCTACCTTCACATCAGAGGCGACAGCTGGGACTGGAGCTTCTAGCCAAACAGTCCTCACAACGGGAACAGGATACCCAGCATACTCTTCTGCGAGCCCTCCATTCTCCTTGTCAAATGCTAGCTCCACTTTGGGACCGACAGCCTATTCGAGTGGTATAGTGCCATCACCATCCGGAACAGGCGTGATTGGGTCTTCATCGGGTGTTCCTTCAAGTCTTCCCCCATTTCCGACAACAAACACGAGCTTTCCCCAGGGTTCTACAAGCGCACCAGGATTGTCCACGGCGCCTACATATTCAGGAACGGGTATCTTCTCTATTCCAACTGGACCCTCTTCCATCACACCACCATTCCCAACCTTCAACTCAAGCTCGGTACCCACAGGCTCAAGAGGAACTTCTGTTCCCGGGGTAGCCTCTTTCAGCACTGGGATCAGTAGTGTGTTGCCTGAAAGCTCTTCCGTCGTGGCCCCATTCCCAACTACCAACGGCACTACTTATCCTGGACCTACTGGCACATCAGGACCGTTTAGCACTGGAGTTTCAAGCTCAACGCTGCCGTCTACCGAAGCACCATTTCCGTTCCCCAACACGACGTTCCCTGTCGGGCCAAGTGGTACAGTACCCGGACTCTCAACCTCGGGAACCGGGATTTCTTCCTTGTCCCCATCATCCTCTAGCCAGCCACCTTTTCCACTACCAAACTCTACTATTCCGGTATTCCCCAGCAGTGGCACTGCGGGTCCGTCGCCAGGTACTGTGACAGGTGTTACTAGTTCAATCCCATCGAGCTCGGCATCTGCTCCATACCCGTACTCAAATACGACATCGGCGCCTGGGCCAAGCGGTTCATTACCAGGGACAGGAACGGTTGTGCCGCCAGCATCCGGGACAGGTGGCACCGGGGATTCCTCTCTTTATCCCACGAGCAGCACTCCATACCCATTCGGAAATACAACCACGCCTTTATCGACAGGAGGAGTCACTGGGGGAACAAGCATTCCTGTGATTGAGTCTTCCAGCGCAGCACCATATCCTTACCCGAACTCGACTACCAATGCTATCACGACTGCCGGTGTGACAGGGACAGGCCCCAGTCTCACTGCACCGTCTAGCACAGCACCATATCCTTTGTCGAATGTGACTTCGCCTATTCCTACTGGGACTGCCGGTACTGGGACGGCTCCTTCAACGTCTCTCTCCACTGGCATCGCGCCTTATCCTTATCCAAATGGCACCATTACAACCCCATTCGGCGGTTCTACCGGTGGCTCGAGTAGTGGGACAGGGATCTCATCAGCGCCTTTGAGCAGCAGCGCACCTTATCCCTTGACAAATGGGACGGTGACTGGGTTAACCAGCGGTCCTACCGGAGGGCCAACAGGGGGAACTGGATCCTCTTCTGCTCCCCCTAGTAGCAGCGCGCCCTATCCTTTCACAAATGAAACCACTATAGGACCATTTAGCGGTCCAGCTGAAGGAACAGGTAGTGGATCTGGGCTTCCGACAACGAATGCCCCCTATCCCTTGACGAATGCCACATCTTTCCCAGCCGGCACTGGCTCAATAGGACCCTCATCCGGCCTCCCAACCACCAGCCCTCCATACCCGCTTCCAAACTCAACTGTCACAACCGGCGGCAGTGTCCCCTCATCTGGCCTACCAACGACCACTGCGCCGTACCCGCTCTCGAACACCACATCTTTTGGGCCTGCTAGTGCCACTGGAGGGATAAGCACCTCTTCAAGTCTTTCAACAACTGTTCCGCCATTCCCATTGACCAATGCCACAATGACACCGATTGGTACAGCCACCGGGGGCACAGGCGTATCATCGAGTCTGTCTACGAGTATTCCACTCTACCCCTTGCCCAATAGCACATATACCCCAGCGGAGAGCGGAACTGGAGGCACAGGTTTTTCATCGGGCTTGCCAACAGTTAGCCCGCCATATCCATTACCGAACACCACTTCCGGGGGCATCACTAGAAGTACCGGAGTTTCCTCTGGTCTTCCTACGAGCAGTCCACCGTCCCCACTGCCCAATGTTACATACTCAGCTGTTAGCGGCAGTACTGGCGCGACGTCAGCCCTTTCGTCCACAACTCCTTTGTACCCATTGCCGAATGTAACATACACTGTCCCAGGCAGTCTGACAGGTACCAGTCCTTCATCTGGTCTTCCGACGACAAGCACTCCTTATCCATTGACGAATGCCACTTCAACAATTACGGCTGGCTCTGGTACAGGATTGTCCACGGGCACATCCTCCACTGCACCGTACCCTTTTGGGAATACAACCAGCACCACGACAGCTGAACCTTTTGGAACGGGAGTCTTGCCTAGCTCTTCGGCATCAGTCACAGGAAGTGTCATTCCCAGTTCTGGAACTGGTCTTCCGACCACCAGCATCCCTGGAACATCACAACCCTCGGCCCCGTATCCTCTTTCAAACTCAACCTCGCTCACTGGGCTTACGGGGTCATCGGGCCCTCCAGGTACAGGCAGCACGTCAGGGACAGGTCCAGCGACATCTGTGCCGGGCCTTCCATCGACTTCAGTTCCGTACCCCTTCCCGAACACAACCATTCCTGGAGTTCAGTCTGGGCCCTCAAGCGCTTTGGGCACAATCACTACTGAGAGTGGTAGCTTAGGGACCGTTTCGGTATCGAGCATTTCAGGATCATCGACTCCGCCATATCCAGCAGGAAACTCGACAATACCCATCAATCCAACTGTCGTATCAGGGACAACTGTCACTGAGACTGGTGGTTCTGAGCCTGTGTCCACCAACAGTCTCTCGTCTATTCCATTCCCCTTCCCGAACTCAACAGAAACCTCTGGGCCCACGGCTATTCCCCCACTTCCAGGTCCCTCGAGCAGCTTCCCTCCTCTTAACTCATCTGGGACCGCGCCGTACTCCTCTCCGGGAACCATTGGAACCGGAATTTCCAGCTCTGCATCTACCCTGCCATCAAGCACTGCACCTTACCCTTTGATCAACTCCACAACTACTGTCATCAGCGGAACAACGGTGATCACTGTCACGACTGGTACAGGCTCAGCCCCGCCATTGTCAACTGGTGAATCGACGACAGGCCCCATCTTGTCAACTGGCATATCGTTGACGAGCAGTTCAACTCCAGGCACCGAATCTTCAGCGCCAGTGATAACTTCATCTCCGGGTGCATCATCTGGAATCTCGACGCCATCCTTGAGTAGTATCACATCTGCGCCATTCCCCTATCCGAACGTCACCAGTTCCATAGATACCACCTGTTTGACCAATTCCACGACGACACGCCATCACCACTCAAAATCGAAGCATCATCATCACAAGACGAGGACACACTCCACTGTCTCTGGGGCCTTTTCAACGACGTGCAACGAGACGACTTTCAGAACACTGATCTCTTCTCGCGTCTCTGGGACCGTGATCTCCTCGTACTGGAAGAACGTCACCTCAACGGTTAGCCAAAGCCTTGGTATGTATCACTTTCTGACTGAAAAAGGACCATGGCTAACCTCTATGTAGGCACTGTACCAGTCAGAACCAGCTTCCGCACTGGTATTTCGGAAACGTCTACCAGCGTCGAGTCATCGAGCCATGAAAGCTTCACCACCATGCCGATGGTTGTATCGCCAGCCCCTGCACCGATCTCAACTTCAGCGCCACCAATCGCAGTCATCACGCCTTTGAAGAATGGCCAGGGCCCACTGGACCACCATCACGGTGTCAATGACACCGCGCCTTCACTGTTTCGCAACCCGAAGCCATAAGTGAGGCTGGCACCAACAAAACCAAGATCCTGTCCAATATATGAAGAAACATGTGGCGGATGTGATGGAAATTTTGTTGAGATTTGTTTTTTGACGTTTGATGTCTTGCTTGACAATATCGAACGATGTTGCACATATATTTTTTTTATTTTTTTTTCACTTTTTGACGCATTTCTGGCAATGCCAGGTCTGAGCCCACAACATGTCTAATTCTTTCTTTTGTTATGTATTTGCAGGAGGCAATGTTGGAGTCGAGGAAAAGCTTGATCGGTTAGATTAATACACGGGTGGTGACCATTCATCTATGCTTATTTATCTGTGAGAGAGCGGTGCCAGCCATGGGTGTGTCTCAGGGGTTAAAAAGGGGCTCAGCAATAGCAACCCTAACCCTCTCGGCTGATGGCTCTGACCCAGCAACAGATGGGGTTAAATGCCAAGGACTATCCATATGCATCCACTGGCAGCCCTGTCATCCAAAGGCCTCGAAAAAGCGATCACGTTTTCCAGATCGGAATTTCCCACGTTCTTGACGACATCACTTGGCGGGGTTTTTTTCAGCAATTGAGACCGGTAACGGACTCGTAAACCGACAGCCACCGACAACCGCCGTTACGGGAGTCGGGATGCCCTTGGATTTGACAGATTCAGGTCCGGAGGGGGTGGCAGTGGGTGTGTGAGTGAAGGGCCCCACTTTGCGTGTGAACAATGGGTGAGCACGTCATCCGAGCTAAAAGGTGCGACTTGCGGGTTGATTGATGGGTTGTGGGTCTTCGAGATGGAGGGGTGTGTACCCGGGAGCCTGGAGACTGTTTGGATTGGGGAGGACGATGATTGAGAAGTTGTAGAATGGGATTTGAGGCCAATTGCGATTGGGAAGAAGGGGTGATGTGGAGGACGAGGGTAGGGGCGGGGAGGTTTGCAAGTTGCATGTCTGGATGACAATGAAGTGAGGCTATTCAAGACCAGCCAGCTACGAAAGGCAGGCATGAAAGAGGACATATTAGCCCCTCCCCCCTCCCCCGCGTTGCACGTCAAAGTGGGGGGAGGGGTTGACCTTATTTGATGTTTTGATACATTCAGGGTTCCTGCGGGCTTTACAGAGTGTCAATGGTTCAATCATTGAGGGTGTAGGTTGCGACATCTGGATGAAGCCATCGTATCCCAACCTTTCTTCCCCAGCTTTATGACTGATGAGACTGGGCAGACACATGGATGAGGTATGTCTCGCTGATATCGCCTCTTTGGAAAGAGAGAGATTTGTTTCCGAGAGAACGTGCCCCGCGGAGACATGGACGGACGTAAGGAGATGGATGGGATGGGGAAGGGAAATATATAGACCGCCCCCATATTTAAATTCCACCGAGAAAACGGCTTGTTCAGACAGCATTTTCCATAAGGGTCCAGCGGATTAGTAACATCTTGATCCGAAAAAAGGAACCTCCGCTACCGCAGCAAGAGAACGTCTCTTTATTACATACACACACACGCCATCCGATACCCTGACGACGACCGGTACCTGCCCACCCGTCGAGGTACCCGTGTACCTGAACGTGAGAAACTAACTTATACAACCCACCTCCAACCCACTTCTCGCTTTCCAACTTCTCTTTCTCCCTCTCCTTTTCTTCAAACCTCTTCTTTTGATTTTTCCTTTTCCTTTTGAGATACCCCGATTCTTCTTTCACAGCAACACCACACTCTTCCACAATGGCCAACACACCCCACGGCGGCGTCCTCAAGGACCTCATCGCCCGCGATGCCCCCAGACACGCCGAGCTCTCGGCCGAGGCCGAGACGCTCCCCGCGCTGCTGCTGAGCGAGAGGCAGTTGTGCGATTTGGAGTTGATCTTGACGGGTGGTTTCTCTCCTCTTGAGGGTACGTTATGTTCACTTTTCAGCACTCAATGGCTTGCCAAAAAATATGGTGGTGATGGTGAATGGTAGAAGGGGGGGAAGGTGGGATGGTGGGGCTCAATTACACCATTTTCTACAGCCACCATGCCTTACCCGGCAGGCAGGCAGCGCGTTGCAAAAATGGGGGATGAACAAACATGGGGAACAAAACGAAAGCTGATGAGATGAGATGATGGCGGGAAATAGGCTTCATGACCGAGAAAGACTACAATGGCGTCGTAAAAGACAACCGTCTGGCCGACGGCGCGCTGTTCTCCATGCCGATCACTCTTGATGTTGACCAAGCGACGATTGACGAGGTCAAGATTGCGCCCGGGGCGCGGATCACGCTGCGGGATTTCAGAGATGATAGGAACTTGGCCATCTTGACGGTGGAGGATGTTTACAAGCCTAATAAGTGAGTTCCGGTCAGGAAAGGGGGGGTGATGTCGGGGGTTGATCTGGTGGCTAATAAAAGATAGGGAGCTCGAGGCTAAGGAGGTTTTCGGCGGTGATGAGGAGCATCCTGCTATTCAGTACCTTTACAACACCGCCAAGGAGTTTTATGTCGGTGGAAAGCTTGAGGCTATCAACAAGCTGCAGCATTATGACTTTGTCGAGTTGAGATGTGAGTTGACAAGATGGAGCAAGAAAAGGAGGGGAAAAACGTGCTGACATGGTGTGAAAAAAGACACTCCTGCTGAGCTCCGCGCTCACTTCGACAAGCTCGGCTGGGCCAAGGTTGTCGCTTTCCAGACCCGTAACCCGATGCACCGCGCCCACAGGGAACTCACCGTCCGCGCCGCCCGCTCTCACCACGCCAACGTCCTCATCCACCCCGTCGTCGGCCTCACCAAGCCCGGCGACATCGACCACTTCACCCGTGTCCGTGTCTACAAGGCCCTCCTCCCCAGATACCCCAACGGCATGGCCGTCCTCGGCCTCCTCCCCCTCGCCATGCGCATGGGCGGCCCCCGCGAGGCCATCTGGCACGCCATCATCCGCAAGAACCACGGCGCCACGCACTTCATCGTCGGCCGTGACCACGCCGGCCCCGGCAAGAACTCCAAGGGGGTCGACTTCTACGGCCCCTACGACGCCCAGTACGCCGTCGAAAAGTACCGCGACGAGCTCGGCATCGAGGTCGTCCCCTTCCAGATGATGACCTACCTCCCCGACAGCGACGAGTACGCCCCCGTCGACCAGATCTCCAAGGGCGTCCGCACCCTCAACATCTCCGGCACCGAGCTCCGCTCCAGACTCCGCAGTGGAAGGGAAATCCCCGAGTGGTTCTCGTACCCCGAGGTCGTCAAGGTCCTCAGGGAGTCGCACCCTCCCCGTTCCCAGCAGGGTTTCACGGTCTTCCTTACCGGCTACCAAAACTCGGGCAAGGACCAGATTGCCCGCGCGCTGCAGGTGACTCTCAACCAGCAGGGTGGGCGGTCTGTCTCCCTTCTCCTCGGCGAAACCGTCCGCTCCGAGCTCTCTTCCGAGCTCGGCTTCAGCAGGGAAGACCGCGACAAGAACATTGCCCGCATTGCCTTTGTCGCCTCCGAACTTACCAGGTCAGGCGCGGCCGTCATTGCTGCCCCCATCGCCCCCTTCGAGCAGGCTCGCAAGCACGCCCGGGAGCTGGTGGAGAAGTATGGTGACTTCTACCTCGTGCACGTCGCCACTCCGCTCGAGTACTGCGAGAAGACGGACAAGAGGGGGATCTACGCCAAGGCGAGGGCGGGCGAGATCAAGGGTTTCACTGGCGTGGATGACCCCTATGAGGCGCCCGAGAAGGCGGACTTGGTGGTTGATTTGCAGAAGCAGAGCGTTAGGGGGATTGTGCACCAGATTATTTTGCAACTGGAGGGCGCTGGGTTGTTGGATAGGTTTTAAAAATGGGTCGAGTAACGGGGAAAGAGCGAAATGTGTCATGATAGATGGTTCCTTTTTTATTTTTATTTTCCTTTTTGTTTTTTGTTTTTTTTTGTTTTTTTTTGTTTTTTTTGTTGTTTTTTTTTTTGGTTGTTTTTTTTGGTTTCTGTGTTTTTGAAAGGGTTAAGGGAAGGTAAAAGGGTTATGTAGGGAATATAGGGACAAATGATAAACAATACCACAACACAACTGGTTGAGAGGCTCGGTGAATGTTGAAGATGTTTGAGGTGCTGGCTTAGGGTTGTGGCCTCAAGACAGTTAATTACTGAATGGATGATGTCTGTGATGCCCGGAACTTGAGCTATGAAATAGTTCAAAGTCTCTTGGCTGTTACAAATGAGTTTACAGCTGCGAAGAGGATCAAATATGACTCAACACCTCACAACTGTGTGTCTGGTGATGCGGGATGGATGGTGTGACTTATGTGATTGTCTATCCAGCTGGCGGCTATTGTTTTTGTCAGCAGTGTCATTGGGTTTCCTGCCAATGCGGGAGGAGCGCTAATGCTTGGAGAATGCACCGATGGAAGTTATTCTTAGCTTCGCCATTGCATTCCGACACGGGGTTCTTGACTTCGAGAACAAGAGTCTTGCGAACTCTGTCTCAGAAGAGCTACAGATGGAGACGGGGTGGGTAATAAATGGGAAAAAGGTGGTTGGTGGGCGGAGACACTTCTCTCACCGATCTTTTGGATGAGGTCAGTGTGCTCTTGAGAAGGCCAGATTGTTTGCTGCTGCTGCTGAGAATAGGGGGACAGTGACTGTGAGACGTAGTCCGTGATGATCACATGCTGTGCGCTTCATGCTGTGTTCGGGAGCATACATTTCCAATATCAAAAAAGACATGGAAAGTGTGGATGGTGGTGAAGGTGGATTTTGAACGTTGCAAAGTCCCCGCAGCCAGACACATCACACCGTGGAAATTCACCGAGTGACGGGGCTAGACACACTGTGATGTCATCCGATGGGTGCTGCTGCCTTCTTCTCACCTGCCCTGCCATCTGAAACTCGATGCGCTGGTTGAAGCCCAACCTTGCCAGGAACAACACCGTGCGCGCACTGTCCAGGACGCTATCGAATCACAACGGGAGCAGCATCGAGCAACCAATGGCCCTGCGTGTGCCTTCTTCTGGGAGCACTGGAAAATCGAATCGCTTGGGCGTGATTCTCTCTACCTGGAACTGCACGCTAGTTTTGGTCTGAGTTGAGTCCTGTCGTTTCTGCAAAAGAAGGTCTCACGGCTTTGTTCTCTCTTTCTCTTCTCTCGCTTCGACGTCAACAGGGGAAAATTACCACCACCGCGACTTTCACCCATCTTGCAAGTCGCACCGCACCGCACCGCACACCGATCGAAACACCGGTTGGTTGAACTGGGCCCGACGACCAAAGAGTTCAAATCAAGCACCACAGCCGCAGCCGCCGCGGCGCCCTGCTTCCTGCGGACCGTATCTGCGCCGCAACCAACCACGACACCCTCCCACAACGTCCTCGAGGAGGTGCCGAGTATCACCTTGCCTCCACTACTCCCGCAACCGACACCCGACACTGTGCGGAAGTCCTGTCGTGCAGATTGCAACCCTCCACCACCACGGATTAACCCCCCCCCCTAGTATTGCAGCCGCAGCCTCCCGCTGGCTCAGGGCGGGCTGTTTGGGCTGTAAAACCTGACATGGTTCAGAATGCCATCCACTAAAGACTGGGAAGGCGAGGGCTCCGTCGCAACTGAAGAGCCTGTATCGCGCGACTCGGTGAAGAGACACAGATCCTCCAGGACGACTTCGGAGCGAAAAGACCGAGATCGAGACAGAGAGAGAGACAGAGACCGTGACCGAGATCGAGACTACCGCGAGCGCGACAGAGAAAGGGATGTAGATCGGGAGAGGGCGCCGAGGGACAAGTCGAGATACAGAGATAAGGAGCGGGATAGAGACCGGGAGAGGGAGAGGGAGAGGGAGAGGGAGAGGGACAGAGATCGGGACGGCGAAAGGGATCGGTACAGAGAGGACAAGGATTCGTCGCTCTCGTCGTCGACGCACCGCCGGCACCACTCGACGAGATCCTCCAAGAGGCCCACCGACAGCGAGGGCTTGCTTTACACTTCGCGATCGCATTCCCACCGTCAGCGCCGGTCAAGAGGAGATATGGACAAGGACGAGCCCGGTAGCAAGTCGGCGGCTGCCGGCTCAATGACTGAGCTGGTGCCCGAGTTGGCGAGAGGGTTGGGTGAGCGGGTGAGCTTTCCGTACCCTTCAGTCAACAAGAATTACAGCAAGGAGGCTCTGTACAGCAAAGAGGATGTCTCGACTCCGGCTAGACGGACGGACCCCCCCACTCCCGAGCCCACCGATCTCGGTAGCAGCGAGATGAAGCGGTCCAAGTCAACAAACTCGCCTGGGATTACCCGACAAAAGTCGACCAGACAACAGTCGCGTCAGGACGATAGACCCCCTTCACCGCCCGAGACAGACCTGTCAGACCCAAAGAAGAGGTCCGGCACTCCATCTTCGCAGCAGGAAGATGACAGGCCAGGGTCGAGAAACTCGTATGTGTCGAGAGCGGCTTCGAAGCACGAGTCAAAGTCGAAGCTGTCGAGGGCTTCCAGCCAGGCCACATTCGTGTTGCGAGCAGCTCCGTCTACAAGACAGTCCAAGATGGAGGGTTCAGAAATCACGAATCCTTCGACTGTGGATTCGGATGCCACACAAGTCCTCCCTAGACGAACTCAATCGACCAGGCCTCGGGTTGAGACCGACTCATCCCCCGAGTCTGCGGTTGATTCTTCTCCCAAGACCCCATTGCATACACAGAACTTTCCTCCGCCGCCACCGCCCGTGTTGCCCGGCGGGAAGGATCATTATGCTACTTCTGACGTCAACCACTATGCCACCTCTGATGTTCATGACAATAACCACTACAGCACCTCCGATCTGCCTACCCCTTCGGCGACTCCGGCGATCCATCCCACCGGTGCCGTTCCTCCACCCCCTCCCCCGCCTCCACCGCCGGCGTCTATCGATCCTCAGGATGTTCCGAGGGTTGACTATCTCATGCAGAATGGTGGTCTCCCGCAGCCAGTACCAAGGCAGTTTCTTTCGGTACTGCCACGGCAAAATGGCACGCGACCCTCCAACCCACCCCTTCAAGGTGCCGAGACGCTCTTCGCGCCGTTCTTCAACCTCCTCAACCAGTACCAGACGGTAATCAACGGCAGTGGCTCGGTCGCTGTCGCCACGGGACACAGAACAGTGGCCCGTCGCCTGTTGGACCGGCTGGAGAATGTTTTCAACAGGGATCTGCCTCCGCATGGGTGCAACTGCGTCATGTGCGAGAGGTCTGATGAGGTCAACAGAGGACTCGGCTGGGGAGAGGTGCTCGAGCGTGTCAGTGGACGGGTTGAGCTACCGCCGTGGCCACCCTTTGACTTCTCGATGCTTGCGGGCAAGGCCGTGGAAGAATTGGCTGACGTCCCCCCTCGTCCGTCGTCGCCGGTAAAGATGGACCCCGACATTGCCGAGGAGTTCAGAGAGCATTACCTGCGCCAGACGCAACGGGTCAAGATGGCGGTTGATAAGTGGATGGTCAATTGCGAAAAGACGCCCGCCCCTCCCCCGACCGAAGTCGATGATGAGACCTTGAGTTTTGCGATTCTCACCAACCTAGACACGGATGAAAGGCCCTACTTCAACGCCTTTCTTACTGGCTCTAGGGAGCTCCAGCCCGCGAACCGTGCGCCGACACCGGCGCGCAAGTCAAGAAATGATTTTGTTGTCAAGGCTGGCTTGTCTCTTCAGAGACTTTACCGTCTCCCGGTGGCCCCGCGTGACGCCGAGGCAGCGGTATACCTCGTCCGCAACCCAGGCTGCTGGCACGATCTCTTGGTGACCATTTCGGAAATCACCTCCTCGGAGTGGGAGATTCTGATCTCGGGACGATTTGATGGGTTCTTGTGGTCTGGCGCCGAGGATGACGGTATCCCCTTTGGCGAAGGCCCTTCTCGCCTAACGACACCGGCGAGCAACATGCCCTCCCGCCTGATGAGCCCGGGTGTTCGCGGCGGCATGTCGAGAACGACTACCCCTTTCGGCGGGGTTGGCGGGCCAATGTCAAGGAATGCCACTCCCTTTGGCGGCTTCTCCCGCGGCCCGACGCCAGCTTCCTTCATCAGCGGTGTTTCGGCTGCGTCGTCTTCTTATCCCTCCAACAGAGCATCCATCACTCATGACGAAGAAACCGAGATTGCGTGTCTAGCGGAACTGGAAAGAGAGATCTTCAACGGAATGGAAGCGCTCGAGGACGCATTCGAGAAGCTCCACGAGCAGGCTATGGGTGTCAGGGATGCGCTGAGGAGAAGGGGCGCGGCGCTCAGCATGAGCTTGCAGCAGCGACGGGGAGGTCTGGGGATGAGGGGGATTGACGTCCTGCCGCTGTCCGGGTCGAGCGGGGTGTATGATCGGCCTGGGTGGGCGGATGACGAGAGCGTCGATGGGGCGGATAGCGAGTGGGGGGCTGATGAGATGAGCGAGCTGGCGCCGGATGATTCGGCCAGTCAGATCAGCAGTAATCGGATGAGGAGGCCGAAGAGGAGACGGGAGAGGGCTACGCCGGGGGTTATCGAGGAGGAGGATGAGCAGTAGTAGGTTGTGATGGGGGGTTAGGGTTATTGGAGAGAAGGAAGTCCAGGACATATGGGGGGGATCAAGATACGGGGATAATAACGACGGGCTTCATGACGGATATCTGTGTTCTGGGTATGGAATTGGGATTGCGCTCTCACGTGCGGGAATGACTATGTATGGTATCATGGGACATGAACTGTTTTTTTTTTTTTTTTGCTTCTGTATCCGGGCTTTGCTGCTGTGTGCGTTGTGCTTTTGTCTCTTCAGTACTGCGATCGAAGGTCTTCATCGGTGGCCAAAACATTGCGGGCGAAGTAGGAATTTTATCACCGTTGGTGTGCCTTGATATTCTTCTGACATCCATGAAGTGACCACATCTTCACCGCGATTCTTGAATAATGAATAATAGTAATCATTCGGCACTCGTGCTTGAACGACTGGTGGGGGAGAATAAATTCAGATGGCCAAACCGTTGAAGGGGTGTGGATAATGTCGGAGATTTTGCTGATATTTCTTGGGGCTGTTCTCACTTTCTCTGGGGAAGTCGAAATGAGCGGCTCTTGCCAAAGACTCCAGAAGGCTGGCCATATCTGAAATTACCTTATCCATTTCCTCATTGCGGAGTTCCAAAAGTGATGTCGTGATCCTGAAGGTTCCTAAAGTCTCACGTGCCTAGTATATTGCGATCGGGAAAGAGCGTGACTGTCAGAAGTCGCAGGCTGCCACATGTTGCGATACACCTTCCTTCCCTTTTCGTCTAAACCTTGAGATCCTGACCGGTGTGGAAAGTACAATCCCGCCAGCCCGGGAAAGAGCAACCCAAACCCAGGCAGGAGAGACTCACCAGCAGCTCCGCCGGCCACCTTCTTCCAACTCCCAGCGCCCCCCGGGACTGTTGTGGAAAGTGCTGCTCTGCTTGCAGGTCAAGCCACACAGGACAACGGTTCCAGTTTTCGAGAGCTGGCGCCGTTTCCCCCACTACCTTTCGGACGGCAAATCGTGCGAATCTTTCGTGGAGCTCCACGACACCGCGCGCCTTCCAACAGCCCCTTCACCGTTCCCACCACCTCACCTGCCGGAAAGAGCAGCTGCCTCGCTTTGCCAGCGAAAGAGAAAACATGTTCCGAGACCACGCCTACAACTCGATGAATTCTTTTGCAGGAGGTAACAACAGAGGGTTCACATACAGGCCCCGTGGCAGCGGTATGTCCAACCTCCATTCTTCTCCTCGCCATCTCGACACCAGCACTTATCCACGCGTCACCCTCTCACTCCCCAGTCTCAATTCCCACTCATCATTCTTCAATCTTCGACTCTTCCGTACAGTTCGATAATCATTTCATCCCCCGAGAGAAAAAGAAATTCGTTCGATTTGAAAACTGGTGCTCTCGAAACCACATCTGATCCACCTTCGAGCTCGTTCATCACCCATCACATTCACACCCTCTCGCTCTGGATCCGCTTTTCTGCAGCTTGATTGCCAAAATACTCACCGTCTCAATGGATGTAGCTTCATCGTGTTCCAAGATCTCCATGACCGCAGCTGCAGACGTGGAAGCCAAGAAGCAACCAACCTACACCACGGTGGGTTCCATTTACAACCCCAGCGCAGCAGCCCCCATTCAGGCGCCCACCAGACGGCCAAGAACTAGGAGATTCCCCCAACCTCCGGAGTCCCCTTTAGGAGACCCGTTCGACTTCACAGATCCCTTGAGGGCCCTTCTGAAGGAGAAATCACCTCCGTCTCCGCCTACTACGGCCGCCGTGCTGAAGCAGTATACGCCTCTCCAGCAGAATTACGATCGTGCCCTCAGCCCCATCAACGAACAGGAGTACCTCGCTATGACGATGCCTCCTCAATTTCGGTCAGAAAATCTTCCTCCTCCTCCTCCACCTCCTCCTCCTTCACCTCCTCCTCCTCCTCCTACAGCTCCTTCGGTATTGGACGATGAGGATGGTGTTGCATCCAAGGACACCCTAATATCGTCAAAGATGACGGTCAAGAGTCTCACCAATCTTGCATCCTATCCCAATCCAATGCAGAAGGCTGCTCAAAAAGCACTTGCGAGAGCTCGACCAGCTAACATTTTGCTCAGTCGTTCTGAGATTCCGTCTCCTCTATCTTCTACCACGTCTGACATTGGATTTGGAAGAGATAGGTCCACAGTCAACCCTGCTGGTCTTCCTTCCACTGCTTCATCCGGACCCCCTCGGCCACTGACGGCAGGGCCTCCAGGCGTGCGTCAGTTCAAGCGGAATGGTTTTGATCCAACAACCTCTTCTGCGCGCATCGGCCGTTTGGAAAGCCAAAACGAAACTTCCGCGGCCCGTCCCCTCTTTCCAATCGGGCACCAGACTAAACCTTCCATCATCAGACAGCCTTTTCAGGCTGGCGTCAACTACATGGCTCTCCGTGATGGAGACATCAGGGGGCATGATGCAGAGCATCCGAGCCAGCTGCTTCAGCACAATTTGTCTGGGAATTACGGTTCAACTGCCCAGCAGTCGCGCGCCTCCCCCGACTTGCGGCGATCTTCTTCGAGCACCCCATTTCGACCAAGTGACCAGGACCCAAAGAAAGGCCCTGTGCACGATACTCTTCCTCCCGAAAAGGCAATGGAGTACTTTCCAGCAGGCTTCCCGTCCAACTATGATGGGCAGTACACCCCTCGTCCGGCGGTGCCTTCAAAATTTTCCCCTTTGGACCAAGAAGCGCAAAAGCAGACACAAAATCAGTTGGACAAACAGGACCAGCAGATACATGATTCAACGAATGGCCGCGTGCAGAGACCAATTGGAGCCATCGGTGCCGAGCGTGAGCGACGCCGGAACGCCATCGACAAAGCTGTTTCTCGCAAGCTCGACAACGAGGACACCACCAAGATGGACAGCAATGAGTATGCGAAGCCTCTGTTGGACAGGACCTATGATGCTCTCCTGAAGTATCGGGAATCCGGAAGGTCGGCTTGCCCGTCAAATGGCTGGCATCCACAGTTTGCAGAGCCAGACGAGTCGCTGTTTGACCACTCGCCCGAGGGCAACAACAGCTTCTTTGACGATCCTAGGATGGAGGCACCCAAGAAGAAGAAAGTTGCCAAGCCCACCCGAAAACTCGGATACTGAGTCATTCTTCTATCACGATATTCAGCAATGGTCAACAGGTCTTTGGTTCATTATGGGGCAGGGTCCATGGGGAGTGATGGGTTGCTTTTTGTGCTGTTCTTTTGCAGTTTTGCGGTTTTATTGCTTCTTTGCATTTTCTTCCAACATTTGGAATCTCTTTCAGGCATGCATGGCTTTTTGGGAAATCGGCAGGAAGTAAGGCGAAAAAAGGGAGGATAGCAACAAACAGGCAGATGAATATTTCATTCTGGGGATGGGTGACCACTGACAAGTTGGCGTTGCATTTTTTGGGCTGGAAATACTTGGCAAGGGGGTTCTGGTCGTTTTTGGAGAACACGGAACATTAACAAATGGGGGTTTAGTGGTGAAGGGATGGGGTCAGGGATAGCTCGGTGGAGTTTGGGAAGGCAACAGGAGAGTGGGATGTTGATTTCGTCGACATCCTGGAGTGTGTATCATGTTTGTATTCGATGATCATTATGAGCGGAACTTTGTAAATCCTGTTGGTAGTTGATATTTCTGGTTCGTCTTGATACCAGCCGGGACTATCTTAATTGGACTTGTATTATGCCGAATTCTACTTCTGTGATGTTTGTGTGTGAATGTTTTATTCATGTCACTGCCCCTATAGAGAGATGCGAGTAGGTAGACAAGAACGCAATGTCTGTTGCCGATGTATTACACATTTCTTACCACGAAGCACCATGTCATCACGAAAAAAAAACACGACATTTTCCAATAAGCTGCGCGCTTACTCTATCCTCTGTAAATCTCGCACATGAAGAAAGTAAAAAAAAAAAAAAAAAAATTAAAAAAAACCAAAGCAAGTTTCAAACACCCAGAACACTCGGGCTCGATGGACCCAACTAACCCCTCCCGTGCAGGCCCTCACCTAATCTTTGCCTCTCAACTTCGTGTCAGTTATTTATTTACTATACCGACTGTCACTACCCCCAACAAAAGCCCCTGAACGTCATATAAAAGCTCGAGAGCACATGAGGGGACGGTTGATCAACGTGATGAGGTGGTAGTAGGTGCACCATATTACGTTGATTGTTGAAAGCAGTTTTTGGACCCCTTGAATCACCACATACACACACACAGAGAGAGAGAGAGAGAGAGAGAGAGAGAGCATAAACAGCATAAACAGTACGACACAGGGGCGATCATGAGTAGAAAAACAGTGGTATTCCAGAGCTCAGTAGACAGAAGAAGACAAGTAACACAAGGAAGGGGACAAGTGAAAATGAAGAGGAAATCAGGGCTAATTGAACCAAGCCTCCTTTCGCCTTTTTGTTCCGACTTGCGCCTCCTCTTGGCTGCCCATACGAGCTATCGGATCTTTGTCAGAAGAGTAAAAAATGGGTATTTTGTGTCCGGCCATATGAAGATAAACAGTCCTTGTGTACAAAAAGGAAAGAAAAGAAAAGAGAAGGCAGGATAGGGTAAGGTCCCTAACTGGTAAGCCCAACGGTCCCCAGAGCCCGCAAACCATGCCACCGAAACGATTGCCAAACAACGAACCCCATATCCGGAGGCTACTCATACTTGACGGTCCACATACTGCATTCTGTGCGCGTTGGAAATATCGTTAGAGATGGAAGTCGTAAACAGCCGAAAAGGGACCTATGACCCAACCCCGAGGAACGGGAAGACAGGAGGGATGCTACCCTGGCGATGAGGGAAAGGAAAAGGCGCAGTTCTTTGGTAACGGCGCGCAATGTCGTGCAAAGCCACTCTGGCGTGTGGTGCTCATACCGGAACCCAAAGGGTTAGGGTCCGGTGAGAGGGGAAGAAATCGACATCCCTGGCGTCGGGAAAATCGGAGTGGTCGATCCGAAACCAGGGCTGGTCAACGTCAACTCTATCTGCGAAGCTTCGCCCCATCTCGTTGTTTGAGCCTACTGGTTCTCCAGCCCTCGTACCATTGTTCCCTGCTGAGCTCGCGAAGTTCGCCGCGCCACTCGCTGAACACAGCCTCCTTCAGACGAACAAAGTCGCAGTGTTCCTCATTGTATGGGTCGGCAAAGCCCCATGGGAACTGGCGTCCGACCACTTCGGGTTCGTAGATGTCAGGACTGATTATCGACATGGGGAAGAAGGGCACTTCGTCGTCCTTTAGGGTGTCTTCTGTCTTGCTTCGGCGGACAGAGCCATTGGAGAGCCTCTTGGAATTGGGAAACGGGCTCTGTCCCTGAATAGGTAGGCTTTGGCCGTCCGTGCTTCCCTCAGCCTCGCTGTTCGATGATGGATGCTCTTCTTCATCCTCGTCTTCCTCAAGAATCTTGCTCGAATCAGGAGTTGACTCGTCGTCATCGGCATCCAAGCCCAGAGCCTCCAGGGGATCGAGATTGGCTTTCTTGAGACTGTCCCAGACCGACCTCTTAAGCACATTCATGTGCTTGGTTGTGATGGTGTCGGCTTTGGCAATGACTGGAATGACAGCGGTCTTGCCCTGAAGAGTTCGGAGCACCTGGAGATCGAGGTCCTCGTCAAGGCTGCCCAAGATGCGTGCATGGGGAAAATGCTTGCCGCCGTTGACGTGACCGTTGGCACCGGCTGCCTTGGCCGCGGCGACATTCCGGTCGAGTCGTGCCGGGTCGAGGACCAGGAAGACGGCATGAATGTGGGTATCTTGTACACCAGGGGCTCTCACAACCTTCATCTCCTCGGCAAACGTCTCCTCGAATTTGCTCTCGAGGAAGCCCGACATCTCTCGGAGCTGCAAGTCCACCACATTCTTCTCCAGCCCTTCCGAGTCCCACAGGGTCAAACCAATACGCTCATTGTCGATTTCGGTCTCCAAGTAATGGGGAATGAAGTTCCCGGACGGCGGTGGCTTGGGGATCTCTTCGTGTTCGATGGTGCTTTTGGAGCGCTTCTTGGCCGGGAGAGCAAGTGCGGCCTTGAGGAACTCGAGAAACGATGACTTGCCGGAATTGGAGGTACCAATGACGAGAATGCTACGAGGGAGCTCGGGTTAATCATGCTGGACTCTGACGAGCTGGGATTTACGCGGAAGCGATACTTACTTGAAAGGAGTAGGATCTTTCCTCCTCCTGACTCTTCTGGGGCTGTTGATGGTACTCATGGCGCTGCTGGCATAACTGTAGCGACCGCGATGTGCCATGCTCCCAGTGCCAGCGTAAGGGTCGAAGCCACCGTTGGGAATAGGAGGAGGGGGGATGCTGAAGTTCGAGCGAGCTGGCTCCACGGAAGGGCGTGGGGCAGGAGTAGCGAAAGCAGCGGCGTCGGCGGGGGGGCCGGCCGAGGGAGCAGGAGCATACCCGGCTCTGCCAGAAACGATAGCGATCGAGTCGGGGCGGGCCTCACCACCGAGACCTAACTGAGGCGCAGGGGCCCCATTGTACAAGACCGGCAGGCGTGGCGGGGACTTGGAAACAGCATCACGCTGGCGCTGGAGCTCCTGCTCCCGGGCCAGCTTCTGCTGCTTCTTCAAGTCGGCGCTCTTGCTGCGACGCAACAACATTCCACCGAGGCTAGAGCGACGAATGGGATGGGACATTGGCCTCCTTCAAAGAGGACGGGAGTCAATGTTATCTCGCCAGTCCGCTGCTGGGGGAAGCAGCACAACGGGCCGGACGTTGCAAGCCACAGCTGCTCTCGAGCTGTGAGGCTCTGGTCTGTGTGTGCAGACAAGACCTACCGAGGGCCGGGACACGGTCGAGCTCGCAGAATTAGCTTCTGACGGAACGCCTGGCGTAGATGGGGACGGATCAGCTTGGAACTTGAACGGGGGAGGGGCGAGCAAGCAAACTCTGTCTCGAGTGGCGGCTAACCTTTGGAAAAGCAGGTCGCAAAGCTGACTGGGGTCGCAACCGGCGTCGACGGCGTTGATAAAAGAGGACGGTAAGAATCGAAGGTAGTGCAAAACACAGTTTCGCTGGCGGCGTGTCAAGGGCTCCTGCTACTAGTAGCTTTGGTTTGGTTGTCGATCACCGTGACTCTGTCTTATAAAAGTCAAAGTGTCAGGTGGTGATCCTGAGGGAAGTCGCAAAAAGAGGCAAGGGCGTTTCGGGAGCGTGCGGTGGTGGGTGGGTAACAAACACTCGATGTCCCTGGGGGAAGGTTTGCAGAGCTTCTGGCGAGGAGCCTGTCAGCATCAAAACACATTCACACGTTCTTGTTCACATCTTCGGTTCCCCAACTGACAGCTCCCAACTGACAGCTCCCAATTGACAGTTCCGAATCGACAGTTCCCAACTGCTGCGCGTATCTATGCGCCAGTGGAACCACCACTTGTTACCCCGCGATTTGATTGCGACGATGCTCTTCATGTGGTTGATGGTGGATAGGTTGTCGCTAGGAACAGCTTCCTAGCAACACCCTGCTCCTCGTCCCCCTCCACTTGTCGCAAACAGCCTGACGGCGCATCCGTTTCTCAAACCCGACCAGTCCCACCTGATATGATATGACGTTTTAAGTTGAACTCAGACTTACACACCAACCCTCTATCAAAACCCGGGGCTTCGGTGGCGATACAGCGGCCACAACTCTCACGGGGACACAAGTGCTCGGCGGCACGCGCTTGGATATGGTAGGTCGGTAGTGGAGACTTGCTCACGCGTAAAAAGGAACGACAAGCCGAGTGTACAGATACAAACGGCGGGGGAGGCAAACAAAAAGGTGTGAAGCGGTCGAAGACAACAAGTCGGGCGATAAACAGCCTTCCAGGACTCGTGGGACGAATGTGATGCAGCGAACGGTCCTTCTAGGGAAACCGAGGGGCGTTGGAAAGAAGAAGAGGACGGCACCTGTTCATCAGGAGCGCGCAAAGAGAAAAAAAAAAAGTCCGATGATGGAAGAGATTGGCTGATGGTACCTGCACCCGCGGTACTGCAAATAAGAGCAGGGGGGGTGGGGGGGGGGCAGCTAAAACAGATGGACCCGGCCACACTGGAAACCTGCTGCCACCTAAACACGCTTGGTTCGGACCTGCGCAGTTCGAAAGGACCATTCGAAGGTCATTGCCGAGTATTCAGATGATCAGTTCGCTGCTCTCACCAAAGGTCCTGGATGAACCCCTTTCCTGCATGTCTCATCCGGGCAAGAGACCGGACGGCCATGACGCTGCACCCCGCCCTATATCTGACCCCCATCATCTCGTCCATGCCGTCGACAGACATTAGACGATCGCTAAATGTCACCTAGCCTTTTCGCTACCTCTTGGACAATCTTTGATGACAATCCAACAGAACGCCGACAATGGGAAATATCAAAGCAACACCTCGCCTCCTTTAAACTGCAGGGTCTAAATGGCTGAGGTCGCAAGTCGAAGCAGCCAATCACATGTCCGGAATCACACCCAACATGCTTCCATGCGCGTTCCGTTTCTTCATCAACCAGTCTTCAGATCCAAGGCCTCTGACCGATTCTTGCTTCTCGACGATACACAACCAAGGGCGCCTACGCATCACCGCTGATCAGCCCATGCAACAACCCGTTCAGACAGCATGCTTTTTGCTGTCACACAACCGTCGATATTCTGATAGAGGGCACGGCCTGGAAGAAGGAAAGAAACGAGTTCCACAAGCCACGTGAAGAGAGAAACGGTCCGCCCCAACTCCGACCCTCCCCCCCAGACGAGATGTCCGTGTCCTACTAGCGGTGGTCTTTTTTTTTCCCTTTTTTTTTCTTTCTCGAAGGACGTGACCGAGGCACAAAGCTGACAGCTGGGTTTTGCGATATTGCTTACGCCAGACTGCATGATCACTTCATATCAAGAGGTGAGAGTTCCGGAAGAGGAGCTGCAATCCCCCAATCTTCCCCATCTCTTGGACGCCGACAAAACTGCAATGCATGCTCCAAAAAGCCAGGACAGCCCTGAACGGGGCAGGATCCGGATTGTGGAGAAGAGGTGAGATCGGGATTTGGTGTGTTTCAGACTTAGACAGCATAAACCGACCCACTCTTTCTACATTGGAGGGTCATGGGGCTGGACGCTAAGCTAGATTTGGGTGTTCGGTCTGTTGTGGTCCAACGGTTGATGACTCTGTTCAGAGGTATACGTGCTCGAGAGATAAGAGAGTGTAATGGATGACCGTGGACACATGAAACTCTTTAGTAGCTGCCAGCAAATAAAAGTTGCAAGCTCTATCTCACGAGACTTGAGTGATAGCTCAAGTGGACCGACGTCACAGGCCAGCTGTCAAAAACTGCCAAAGTGTCCAAACGGCCATGGATGGAGAATGAGATTGAGATGGACCGTGTTTCCACTCTGCTCGAGCCCTACAGAACAGCAAATCTGTAGCTAGTGTGTTTCGTTTCTGGCCTTCTAGCAACGACGGACGAACCGACCGCCTCAGACAGTATCGTTTACTCTGTAGTTCCGACGACAAGCCTTTCGGGCCTCCATTTCCAAACCCCTACATCCAGATGACCTGGTCTCTCCGCATAGATCCAATCTGTCTCGCAGCGTCGTGAACACAGACAGTGTTTGCATAGGTGGGGAAATTAAATAGTGGCCAAAGCCTCGAACCAAGAGATCAAATCACGGAAAGAGGCAGGCCCGTCGGAAGTGTGGACGCGATGCGATGCGATGCCATGCCATGCGATGCGATGCACGCTCTACATCCTCTCTCATGTATATCATACATACCTAGTTCTGTCTTTTGTGACTCCCATCACAACTGAATAACCTGGCGGCCTCCCTGCTTCCTTGCTACAAGTCTCCTTCCCAGACGCCAAAAGGGGGTATCAGTTTCTGGCTTCATGATAACACACCAAATGCACCACCCCACCTGATGCCTGGCCCTGTATCTGTCTTCCTGCTGTTCATATGATGCACGGCCTTCTTAGCCTTCAGTTCCGTGTTCCCTTTCCTGTTCCTTATTCCCCAGAACCCCAACCTCTCACCCCGCAAAAACATCATGCTGCAACTCAATCCCCATCTCCCTCGCCATCTCCCTCATCTTCACCTCCACCTCGTCCTCCATCCCCCCTCCCCTCCCCAGCAGCTGCTTCACCCGAAAGAACCACCAGACGGCATCGCTCGCCCACAAAACCCCTTTGAAAAGCAAATGCCTCCACGCATTTCCCACCCTCTCCCTCCACCCCAACCCTTTATCCTGCCACAGACTCCTGCTGGCCCAGACCCCCATGATCTTGATCCTGTTCACGGGGCTCCCCATGTTGGCGTTGTTGGCTTGCACAATCCTCATGTTTCTGCTGATAAAGATCAACTCCTTCGGCCACTTCTCCTCGTCGGCGAGCATGTCCCTTATTCCCTGTTTCATCCTCCTCTGCATCTCGTAATTCCTCTCGCTCGGCGACCTGGCCTTCATGGCCTTGAGGAACTCCTTCTGAACCTTGTTTTCGCCTCCTTCGTACGGCCGCATCAGTGTGGCCGAGGCAAACATCTCCGCGCCTTTCACCCCCCAACCCGATGCGATCTGGACGATCTTGGCGTTGTCAAACGTCATGAGGGCCTTCCAGAAGGAGGCGTAGTCGTGCCTGAACTGGTCAGACATGTAGACGTATAACCCGTGATCGATGAGGACCAGCTCTGGCTTTCCGTTGGGGAGCCGGCGGACAAACATGTTGCCTGGGTGAGGGTCGCAGTGGACGACGCCGAACTTGAAAATTTGGGCCGAGAATAGATCAACGATGGTGGTCATTACGTCCTTGGGGGAGACGCCTAGCCCGCCGGTGAGGTTGGGTCCGCGCCAGGAGCTGCGCTCGGGTTTGAGCCGTTGCCGGTCCGGGTTCTGGCGGAGGGCGGCGCGGAGGGAGGGCATGTCTGGAGAAGGGAGCTGCTCGCCGTGGACGCCTGGGGAGTAGTTCCCGTGACCGCCTCGCCAGGGGCGGGTGAGGTCGGACTTGTCGTTGAACCGGACGCCCTCGATCCATTCGGTCGTGAGGACACGCTTGGAGGACAGTTCGGGGTATACCGGGGGGATGTAAACTCTTCCTCTGAGAGCGGGCTCGTCGTTGATGAGCTCGCGCATGACTTCCGAGTTGCGCGCTTCGTTTTCAAAGTCGGTTTCGAGTTTCAGTCGCTCGCTGACAAAGGGGACCATGGAGTACATTGGCAGGTCGAACCACCAGGTGTATACCCTCATCACGACCCTACCAACCGGCCGTCAGCACCACCGCTATCCAAAAACAGCAAAGAACTCACTTGAAAGCCCACAGATCCCACCCAATCTGCCTCTCAATCTCGGGCTTCTGAATTTTGACCGCCACCTCCCTCCCATCCGGCAACCTCGCCCAATGAACCTGCGCCACACTCGCGCTCGCCCTCGCAGTCTTCTCCATAACACCTTTGCTCTCATCCCGCCCCGTGAAATCCACCCCAAAAACCTCCTCTACCGACCTGCCCCCAAAATCATCCCTAATCACCTTCTCCACCAGCTCCCACTCATCCTGCGGCGCATCATCAAACATCCTCGCGAACATCTTCTGGAACTCCGGCGGCAAGACAGCACTCTGCATGGCGATTGCCTGCCCGATCTTGAGGTACAGCCCGCCATTGTGCCGTAGCAAGTCGGACATGCGCTCCGCGCTGCGGCGGTGGAGCTCGGGGATGCCGGATTTGGAGCCGATTATAGGGATGGGGTGAGGCCGGAAGTTGAGCTTGTAGTCGGCTGCTACTAGGAGGCCGGTGCCAAAGGTGCGGAGGGAGCGGGCTATGCCGGAGGCGTAGATTTGGGAGTCTACTAGATAGCCGGCGCCGAGGAGCGCAGAGATGACGAGGAGGCGGCGGAGGTATTTTTCGGCCCGGGGGTACGATCTCGCGGCCCGGGGAGCGCCGAGCGAGGAGGGGGAGGGGGGTCGGAGGGGCTCGAAGGGACCGGATGAGGGGTGGAGGGGTCGGCGATGTGATGGTGAGGTGACGATTGTTCGCCAAGGGCGTGGCAAGCGCAGTGTCTGAGCTGAGGTTGTTGTCGTTCTTGTTCTCGTGATGGTGGCGGACAGATGGAGGCGGCTGCCGGCTGTGCTGCCGGCGAGGCCATGGCGCCACATGATGCGCTGGGCGCGCTGGCGAGAAATAGGATGATTTCTTTTCTGTGGTTTAGTTCTCAGATATTGAAGCCACCAGCTGCGCCATTCATTGTGTTGTTTATAGAGCTGTCGAGCTAAAAAAGGTGTCGAGACCGGGTGAGGTTGTTTGTGAGATTTGTCGATGACGACTGACAAGCGAGCAAGGCCAAGCTCTCAAGTCCCTCCGATGCCGATCGAGCTTGGCCCGCTTTTTGCCGCCTCCTCCGACCACTTTGCCCCCGTGTTATCTGTAATGTCTCCGACGCCGATCGGGGTTACCTAGCAGGTGCCGACAGTTATCTCTGGCAGTCTTTGGTCTTGAGAAAGCACTACGGCACCTGCTCAATGATGATGGATGTTTCTGATGTCGATGATACTCGAACTTTGATGATAGTTGAACTTTAATGATAAGCCTTAAAATAATTAACATGTTCTAAAAAACAATTGATGAGCTTTAACAGATAGTTCATAGGCTTAAAAAATGGGTAAAAAGCTTTATTTTTATTGGAAAGGGTTATAGATTAATAGTCATTATACGTCTTGCTGACTCACAGTATTAATTCTTTTGTTCCTGACATTGTATATAAGGCTCTGCAAAACTAAGGATCATCATGACTGGCCAAGTCGCAAGTCTTCTCTATTCTATGTGGGCCTGTCGCGGAGCTAGCTAGGTTCTGCGGCCGTGTTTGACCTTGACGATACCTCACCCACCAGTTTGCAACAGGGTAGTTAAACATACATGAGCGGCTGTAAACAACAGCCCCTTGATACCTCCGGTTGAAAGAGAAGATCTGGGGATATCAAAACAGCAGGGATCCGTATGTGGAGCTATCTGCATCTGAGATGTGGATGTGTGGACCTGCCATGAAGCTTGTTCTGAAACTAAGATGACGCGGTACCAATAAGGCTGCCCAGAATTAGTGAGGGCGGAGGTATCCCCTAACAAACTGGCGACAACCTCTCCCTCGCCCTCTCTGGGTGCCAGACCGGGTTCACAAGGTGGCGGACCATGGGGTTGAAAACAATGCGACAGTGTTTGCGGTTGGTGAAGGCTGCCTGACGAAGCTTGGTGAAGCTTGATACAGCAGTCCTTTGGGGTCCAGAAGCCATCACGGATTGTTCATGGAATCCCGACGTAACATCCAGTTTTAAAACTGTGTAGCCAAATCAGGGCCAACAGCCGTAGCGGATTGCAACCCTGACTGCAAAAATGGCGAACGAGTGTGGGAGACAAGGAGAAATGAGCGAGGAGGGAGAGAGAATGCCGGAAATTGGCCGCGACACCAACGACTGATAAAGGCTCGTCGCCGTGACGTTCCTCTTGCGTGAGGTTACGGCCACAGACGAGGCCTCGTCTTGACCATGACTCCCATGTTTGATTTTTTGATTTTGGCGCCGTCTGAGCCAAACGTCAACTCGATGCTCATATCCTTACTCGCCTGCTCTCTCCTGCTGAGCTGGCGGTGGCCTTTTGTTGCCATCACGGGCTTTGTTCGGCTCCCTGAAAAGCCTGGTTGTGAGACTCGAGCTGCGTCAGTTAGTGAGGCGTCTCGTCCAATGATTGCGTCGTCCCGGTATTCTTGCATTTCATGACTGTGTGCTCCGAACCACCATGCAAAGCGAGGTTTTTATTGCGTCGGCGGTCCTGCAGAAGCGTGCCATGTGCCTGTAGCCAGATCCAGCAACTCACGGGAATGACCTTCCTGATCCAGTTCGCGCAACCCAAAGCCACGGGAACCTGTAGACCTGAGAATATGGAATGAACCAGCCACTCGCCAGAGCCAGACTGACGGGCTCGCTGCGGGTGAGGGTTCTTGGAGAAAAATAGGGGTCAAGGAAGCAGTGCTCCGAGTCTACTTCTGCTTTTCTCGGGACGACAGAGTGAGACCCGGCGGACGAGGTGGGGACCTGAGGAAGAGCGGATCATGATTCCGGCGGCTGTAGGCTGCTCATACCGCAGGCCACTCACTCACTGGCTGAGTTTGACGTCCCGTCACCCTTGCACCGTGTAAAGATACACAGACATTGACTGTTGTGGAGTGGTTGTCAACCACCGCGCGGATTAGACCAGTCCATGCACTGACGACATTGATGAGGAGGGCCCCAGGTTGGTCCTTCTTGGGGGCTCCGGAGCGGGAAGTGATATCAGATGCAGGCGAGCAGGTGTCTCCAAGTCTCCAGAGGGCTCGGAAGACCTCAAAGTACATCGTAATCTCATGTGTATCGCATCAAGCGTGGAATGGCCGTGATGTGTGTTGAAGATTCTTCAGTGGTAATTACGCAGAAGCTGCGCCTCGAAGCGAGGTACGGCGAGGCCACCCCAGCCAAGAGCTAGGTGTGCGTGCTCGCTGTTCCCCACATGCTTGCAGCGGGCAAGTGGCCCAGGCTCGACCCCCTAACGATTTTCCCACCCCCCATTTCCCGCTTCCAATTGCGCTCCCCCCGTCACCTCACCACCAGTGCTTCGCATCGCGCTGTGTGTGCAACTCGTCGTCGCCAATCTCAATGCATTCCCTTTGCTGGGAAATCGCGAACTAGCTCGACTCCGGATCTCGAGAGAATCGAAGAGCGACAGCACCCCGCCGCCATCCCATCCCATCCCATCCCATCCCATCCTATCCCATCCTATCTCTTCAACAAAAGAAGAAAATAAACTGCTGGACGGAACACCAAGCGCCGCGCGCGACGACTTGCTGGACTTTGCCGAAATCAATCGTCGACAACAATGAGCGGCCGATGAACGAACTGCGAACTCCGCTACTGCACAGCACACACACGTTCGCTACAGTCTCGACCAATTCCTTCGCATGTATCTGACCGACCGTATGCGCACACGATCCTTGAGCATCACACTCCCTTCAGCCGCTCATACTACTCGGTGGTTCAACTGAGGAATCGAACCTCGCTCTGACCTGCCGCGTCTTGACGACGCTGGCAATCTCACCTTGCACCACTTTCACGGTCCTCTCGCCTGGAGCTCTCTGTCAACATGCTGCGACCTGCGACACCGTTGTCGGTGCTTCTCTTCGCGGCATTCTGTCTACTGCTCCTCTCGTCTTTGTCGGCTCCGATTATCAGCGCTATTCCGCTGGGTCAGTGGATGGGCGTTGACTTTGGAGTTTTTGGTTTCTGCAATGGCGGGAGCTGCACCCCTATAGAGATCGGCTACGATGTTCGTAAGTGTTATCATGTCGTACGGTTGTTGGCAATACCGCGGTTGCTAACCATCTCGATTCAGAACAACTCAGCGCCGATGGCTTTGACATCCCCGCGGGGACGCGAACTACCCTGACCACTCTTCTCGTCATCCACCCGGTCGCCGCGCTTCTGACACTGATCATGTTCGTCTTGGCTGTGGTTGCCCACTTGCATAGCCCGGCTCACTCGGGTCGATACTTGTTAGCCTTGTTCATCTTTGGCATCTTCACCTTCCTGGTTTGCCTCTTGAGCTTCCTGGTCGATGTGCTCCTCTTCGTGCCGCACATGGCGTGGGGGTCCTACATCGTTCTGGCTGCTACCGTTTTGGTTGCCATCAGCGGGCTGGTTTCGTGTGCTATGCGTAGGACGATCGTTAGCAGAAAGGCCAGGAAGCAGCGCATCGCTGAAAATGCAGAGATGAGTGGAGAGAACTACTATAATCGGCAGTTGCAACAGGCTCCTCCTGTGTCCACTAGCCCTGCACCCCAGCAGCCTACTGTCTCGATGCTCAGCGGTGCCAACGGAAGACCAGACGCCCTCCCCGAATTTGCTTCATTCGAGAAGAAGGATGATCGAAGCAGTGATGAGAGGGTGCCGCTCACCTCGATGAGCCCGACTGACCGATCCCCAAACAACAACTACGCGACAGATGGCTCGACCACTTATGTCAACGATACAGGTCCTAATCCGTCGGACATCACGGCACAAAGGTCCATGACCAACACCCCGGGTTCGCGAGGTTATGCTGATCCCTCGCCTGGTCCTGACGGGTATCTTATGAGGGCACCCTCTTACGAACGGATGAATTCGAGAGGGAGAGGCGGAGGTCCTCCAGGAGGCTACAGAGGTCGCGGAGGATACCCGGGGCCCGGCAGGGGTGGTTACAATGGATATGGGCCATCATCAGGAGGAGGGCGCGGGGGGTATGGCGGTCCGCAGGGCCGTGGTGGTCACGGCACTCCGCCGAGTGTCAGGGGTGGGTATGGTCCACCGCCACCCCGTGGTGGCGGTGGACGGCCTCTTCCGCCAAGCTATCGGGGAACTCCCGGGCCTTACGACAGAAGACCATCACCAGCAGGTCCATACGGGCCCGGGCCAGTCCCATATGATGCCCGGCAGCCATCACCAGGTCCGCCGTCCGCGCCTGGATATGTCAGCAGATCGGCCTCGAATGTGTCGGCTGGAGGATACAATGCTTACAACCCCAACAACCGCGACAGCCTTCCCAGGGCAGAGTCGCCACCACCGCTCCCAGGAATCGACGATGGCATTCCCACCCAGGCCGTGGAGATGGATGCGACGGGTAGCAACCGTGGCGTGGGACAATATGGAATCCGGGATAGCGATTCCGATGTTGCGGGTATGCTAGCCATGCAGCAGGCGAGGTTATCACCAGGGGCGAGACATGACACGTATGTCAGCGACGCCAGCAGATATAGCCAGGATGAGTAAGTTGCTTCCTCGATGCACCACCCCTTACCACGGCCTTGCCATAGTAACCTCTTTGTCCAGCACCGCATATGTCCCCCCTAGGCAAGCCTGGAATCAGAATCCGGTCAGGACCCCGTCACCACTTACAGCTGTTTCCACCCGGCCACCTGTTGATCTCAGGGGCGGTCCTGGCCCTAACCTCCAACCTCCACAACAGCAGCAAGCAAACCCAGGGCTAAGACCGGCCCCTAGTGAGTACTACGAGGATGTGGACCCTCGCTTCGCCGAGCCTGCGCCTCCCGCAGCTAGTAATTCACCCCGGCCAAGAACACCTCCTCTGCAGCCCCTACAGTTGGCTAACTCATACGAGGACATTCCCCAGGGCGCCCGCAGCCCGGCCGAATCTGAGCGGTCTAACTTCACGTCTATTTCGCAGCGCGGGATCAACCCTCGGTGGCAGCCACCACCAGAGATGCCGCAAATGATACCCCGGCGACCAGTTGGGAATAACGGTCCCCGCCCTGCCGATCTACTTCTTAATTCCAATCCAGACTTTGAACTACCCACGCGAGGAGAGGGTAATCCGAGATGAGCAGGGCGGTAACCAATCCAAAAAGGAAGAAAGGAAGAGTTGGGGGGGGGGAAAGTGGAGGTGTTTATGATACCCAGAAGTTTCACAACAATGAGTGTGAACTTTTATACAACACAACAAACCATCCACCAGAGCAAAATTCTTGCGTTTTTCTTTCGAGTTTCTGTCAACAAAGGGGCAAAAAAAAGGGATTTGTCTTTTATTGGACGACGAAAAAGTACAGTACTACCCTCAAACTTCGGTGGTGAACAAGCCCAGTATATAGGATCATTTTCCTGTCGGTTCTCGGTTGTTTTTTTATTTTATATTTCTACGCCCACCCTCGGGTGCTCTGGATTGTTCGGTGGCAAGCTTCGCCAGACATTTTTTCTTGTTATAGTATTTGTATCATGACAGGGACAGAGAGCTTAGCATCGCTTTCTTTCTGTTGTCACTCTCGGTGTTTTGTCAAGAGGGTTTTTTGTGTACTATTTATTGTAGGTTAGGTAATCAAGAAGTCAGCGGAAAAGGGGAGGATGGACGAGTGAAGGGAGGGCATGAGTGCGGTGAGATGGTCGGGGAAAGGGGCGGGCGACAGCAACAGCGAGCATACTTGATAGTCATAGCGAGGGATGGAAACTGAAAGACGCATTTGTGTGGAAAAACTCTTTGCTTGCAACCTCGGACAATTTCATGTCTTCCGAGCCTGAGAACCACCAGCACACCAGTCCAACACTGATCGCCATTCTTGATGTGTCCATTGCCTTTCACTGCAACCCCTCGTATGTCCCGAGAGGCTCATCTTGTACCGGTATCCTGGTTTCAATCAAAACATGTGTTACCAACAATCAACTCACGCCTTTTTTAAACCAGGGATAGGCTTCTTGATCATTTTTTTTATCATTTTTTTATTTTTATTTTTTTACTATATTTTTTTGTTTTATTTTTTTAACTATATTCTTTTTTTTACTATATCTTTTTATTTTAATTTTTTACTTTATTTTTTTTAATTTTATTTTATTTTATTTTTTTAGTGTTATCTTTTTATTTTTAATTTTTAATTTTTTAATTTTTTAAAACGCCCACTCAACTATCTTTCGAAGCTTGTTGAAGACGTTGCTTCGGGATGCCATCTTATATTAACTTGTTTTACACTGCCATTATTTCCATCCAACAGTATGCCGCATCAACAACACCCGCGTCTCTTCAACCTCTCGCCAAGCACATACCCCATCGATTTCCAGTGTGTACTATTTATTTTCTCCATCCGCTTCACAGTGTCTTTACCAGCCTCATCTCCGTGCCGGCTTGAACATCCTTCGCCGTCTCTTGATCTGCATGTTTGTCACCCTGCTGGTCTTCCCCACAGCTCAACTAATTCCCTATTCCCTTCCTGATCTTCCCTTTCCAAAAAAAAAAAATTCTCCAAAAAAATCAACAATGAATAAAAATTCGAATTCCATCCATACAGATAATCACAAACGTGATTTTTATTCTCTGCCCCATTTCCCCCAAGGGCCATACCCGCCACGCAAATCTTTTCACAAGCAAACCGTCTCCTTCTCATCTTCCGGGAGAGCCTTACTCTTCCAACCGCACCCCCCCATTCCTGGCTTCCCATTCCTTAACCGCGTCCGCCAGAGAAATGGTGTAATGCTGGCTGTCGAAATCAACGCCTTCCAGCCCCCCATTGGTATCCATCCGATCATCGCCGTCGGCGGCTCCTCCGACGTGGACTTTCCCATGATGTTGCGCATAGTGAGCACGAACGCAGGCCGGAGAACACCACGCTGTGGGCTTCTTCAGATTGACAACACATTCCTTGCAGAATCGGACGTCTGCCGGAGTGGCAAGAACGTCCGACATCTTAGTGTCTTCGTCATGTGCCGCATGGTTGTTGTTTGGCATCTGCCGCCCCCCGGATGAGTCCACACGAGCGTGAACACATGTAGGACCGGCGGAACAACTGTGAGCCTTGAGATGATTTCTCTGATGGGGAAAACAGCATCAGTATCTTCCAAGACGAGAGCAGACAGCCAGGGGGAAAAGGCAGACTTACATATCCTTCGTGTTCGCACTCAAAGCCACAATAGACAGTCATCTCTGCGCCCTCGAGCTCGTACCCAGAAAGGAGCGCGCAGACGGTGCAAAGTCTGAAGCTCGAAGGGTTGACGGGATTCCGGCACACCGAGCATGGTGGCAAGTTCGTCAGCCCGTCAGGTATCACGCTCCTCTGCTGCTCGGCAAGCCGTTTCTTGTTTTCTGCCTTTTTGGCCTTCTCCAGCTCGTAGGCAGCCTGCCCTCTCCTCAGCTCCGCCAGCCTTGCCTCGACCTTTTTGATCTCGTCCTGGGCGCTAGACAATCTTTGGTGATCACTCAAGATTGCGTCCTTGACTTGCTCCATGCTGGCATTCTCTTGTGCGAGCATGTTGTAGTATTTTGCGTGGACCTCGGGCACCTCGCCACTCGGGCTACCGTCAGTCGGTTGTGATGGTGTCGCAAAGAGGGCTTCCTTGAGCACCTCTATCCTCTCAGTGTGATTTGTGGCTGCAAGAAGTCTTTTGGACAAATCATCTATTGGCGGATTTTCGCTGCCTGACAACTTCTTCAACGATGTCGATACAGCAGTCATGAGCTCCTCGATTGGTGCCGATCCTGCGGTGAACCTTTCTAGTTGTTCGGCGATGGCTGCCTTGTCCTCGTCTTGCCCCATGGATCTCAATCTCAGCGTCGTCAGGCTGTCGGCATACCATCGCTCTTTTTGTTTCTTTACATGTTCGTCAAGAAGGCCTGGATGGATCTGATACTGCTTTGCCTTTTCGATAAGATCTGCCAGCTTTTCAAGAAAAGATGGGGGGGCGGATGTGAACCATTCGCCTTGGGATGAGAGTGACGGGTCTTTCAGCAAGTCTGCCGGAGGACAGTTGAAATACCTGGCCTTGTAGAGGTCCAAGAGGCTGCCGTAGCAGGACGAACAGGCTATTAAAGGGTCGTCGCCGTGAGTCGCCCTATGATTTTGTTGTATTGCAGAAGCCTCCGAGTCGAAACGAGCGTCTTGTGCAGCGGCGAGGGCACATTGGAGGAGGATGGCCGTCATGGTGCAGTAAAGAAGGGGGGGTTGGGAACCCCAATCCCGACGAGACGTGGTAATGATTCGATAGTTCGGATGATCCCTCTGGATGGATGTGTACGTGTAACACTGATGGTGTAATTGATTGACTGAGACAGAATGATGCGCCTGGTCTGGGTGAGTTGAAGGTGAGAGTGCTTCCTCAAAGTGACCTTGAGGTGAGATGGGGTCCTGCAGAGAGCATGTTCCCCACCGAGCTTGAAATGCCAAGCCTGCCGTGGGACCTGCCCCTGCGCATTCCAGAACTTGGCTCGTCTTGGCAGGCGCGCTGCTGCGCAAAGGTCACAACGGCTCAAGCGCAGCGCATTCCGTTTCTTTCTTTTGCGCAATATTCATAACTCGAAGTCATCCAGCAAAGCAGCAACACCACAACAAAGTGCGCAAATATGGCAAGTTTTAACCCCCCAAAATATCAAGTCCCTCAAGATGCAGCCGCTAACGAAACTTCGCTTCACGCTAGGCCGACAAACTTCGTACCCAACAAGAGCTCGAGCGGCTGCAGGCCAAGTACATCGGCACTGGGCACCCAGACACGACGAGTTGGGAGTGGAAGACAAACATCAACCGCGACACCTACTCCAGCATCGTCGGCCACCCCCCCCTCCTGTCATATATTGCGCTGGCATCGAATGAGCCTGTTACCAAAGTGCGCGCCGAGATGATCAGAGTCAGTATCCCGTTGCACTGAAAAAGCAGAGCATGTGCTGACATGTCTAAAAACAGAAAATGATACAGCCCGCCGGACCACCACCAGCGAGAGAAGAGGATACGATCATGGGTGGACAACAAAGCTGAATGAGGGATGACAGCCTCTCTCATATCGCATTTGCACATTTGCACATTTCACGACATGACGACGGAGTAAACACCACAGGAACGGGCAAGTTGGGGGTGATCAATCAGGCCAACCAAAGTAGCCCATCTCTTTTCCAACACACTCATGGTGGCTGATGCAACACCTGGGAGGATGCTCGCCCCCTGGCAGTTCCCAGTATCATCGCTGCAAGTGATAACAGTACGGCCTCCTGGCCAATCCCAGACGATCGCAAATACCCATAGAACGAATTCCACAATGATACCCCTTTAGACGCCAAAACACCTTGATCCCATGGTATGCGCGTCCCTTCCTTGTTACGCATGCCTCCTTCTCTGCCCATTACTCGGTCCGGCCTCTTGCATCTCTTCATCATCCTGGACCTCATCTTCATCACCCAGTCCCTGCTCCTGCTCCTGCTCATGTATCTCCGGTTTCCTCTCCTTGACGCCCTTTAAGCTAATCTGAATCTTTGACTCCAACTCTGGGTCCGAGCCACCGTAGATGGTCCTGACAAAGCCCGCAATTGACTCCTTGGGCACCTCTGCCTTCCCTCTTGGTCCAACATGCCACGTAGTAGAGTCGTCGTCGCCGTTGCCCCTGTTATCCACCATCCTGACCAGATACCCATGTTTGATCATCCTCTGTAGCACAACGTCGGTCTTCTCCGTGGGGTTAGCAGGGTCGTTTGGGTTCATGCTGGGCATATACTCGGCGGCGTTGAGCCGGGCCAGATGCCTCCTGAGGCGGGTATCACTGAGCTCGCCTCCCGAGATGGTGATGAGCGAGATGATCGTGGTGTACAGGGCCGTGTACGCTGCTTCACCTTCGGCGGACACGACCTTTGAGGGCCGGGTGAGAGCGGGGGTTCGAAGCTCTTCTGGCAGGATGTTGGTAAGAATGTAGGCATTCGATGTGGCTTCCTTTTGGGACTGGCTTTTGGCGGCTTTCCGCTTCTGCTCGGTGGTCATGAGATTCTTATCCCTAGCTGGAAGCTCCACCATTTCCATGCCAAAAACTGCTCGGAGCTGTTTCTGAGCTCCGGCAAATGCTGTTTTGAACTGCCGGCCATTTGTACCGAGAACTAAGGAGGGAGGGGGTTAGTATATATGGTATCATGAGAGGGGGAGAAAGAAAAGAAAAAAGAAAAAGAAAAAAAAAAGACACAAACCTTTCTCCCTAATGGCGTCTCTCCGAATGGGGGTCCGTGAGAAATCACATGCGATGGCATACCGGACCAATCCTTTTATCAACTGGCTGAGCTCCTCGTTTGGAGGACCATTCATCGTTTCATCGGCAGCACCATCTGAGGCGTATTGATCATCTTGTGGCTCATGCATGTCGACATCTTCATCCTCATCGACCGGCCGTTGGCGGCGGCTCTGCTGGAGTCTGGGCATTCTCTCAAGTATATACTCGTCCCAGCATCGAAGGGCGGTGGAACTGGCATACATGAGACTGTCGGTTGGTTGATGGCGGCTAACAAAGAGGGTGTTCGTATCGACGATGATGTCAGACAGTGACTCTGGGGTTGATGAAATGAAATGGTGGGGGGAAAAGGAAAACGCGTCCAACATAGTTTAATTGATTCTTGGCGCGTCAAACGCCAGCTGTTACGTTACGTGACCCCATGTGCCATTTTTTGGGGGGGTTTTTTTTGGGGTTTTTGCCTGCCGGGAAGTTGGAAAGTGGGTTGGGGGACGTTGTGAAGGACCCACCTAAAATATTCAATCTGCAAGGTGCTCGTCGTCGCAGACGTTGCGACTGGGCTTGGTGAAAGCGACATCTTGAATTTTTTCGACATACGGCAAAAGAAACGGACTCTTGGCGGTGATATTTCTTTCATTGGGTTTCAAGTTCAAGGAAAAAGGAAAGCACCAAATCAAATGCTCAGGCGACCGGTGACTGGCAGCGCCAGCTTTGTTTGCTTGAGGTGCCGGCTCCAGTTGGCAGGCGCTGCAGGTTCAGGTTTTCTGTCAGCTTCGGGCACCGGCGCAAGAGTCGCAAACCGATCGTCGAGATACTTTGGAAGTCGACCTGTTTCTTCGCTCCCCGCGCTGTCCAGGCATACCGTTTTGCCGCTTTCGCGTCAACGATCGCATTCACGATGCTACGCTGCTGGTTCTTCGTCCGGGTCGAAACCGAACTCTGAAGACGAACCCGAGATCACGACGGAAAATTTCTTCGAAGTCGAGGTGACAGAAGTCAAGAAGAGGAAAAGAATTCAGAGGATCCTCGAGCCAGCCCCATGGGAACTGGAAGCTGCCGAGGAGGAACAAAAGAGAAGCCCAGAGGCTAGCGGAGAGAAAATCCAGCAGGAAATCCAGCAGGATATTGCGCGGGAAATCGAGGAGTATGGCCAACGGCTTTGGAGTGAGGGCCTGGTAGAAGACCAAAGTGATGGCGGTTTCGAAAGTCCAGAGAACCCACCCGCATGGAGCGAGCACCCACCCGCGCGGAGGGACAGATCCAGAAGATCGGGCGAACATGCCGCAAACAAGAGCATGTACTGGCCCTTTCCTCAATTCAAAGACTCGAAAGACTCGAAAAGCTGGAAGTCCAAGGGGCAACTAGTCGAAGCTGAAAGGGAGAACCTGGGGTTGGATATGCTGGGCAAGCCAGCGACTGCAATCGTGCTTCGAAAAAAGCCCCTTAGGCGACTGGAAAAACTCACCACGGGAGGCGAAGATCTAGAGCTGGGGCAGACGTCGGCTATGTTGCAGAATCTGCTTGAAGGGGGCGCTGGTAGTCTCACCTCGGAGGAAATACTGCTCAACATTCACGAGCTGCGACCGGCAGACGAGCGGGTGCTGAGCGAGGAGGAATTTGTCACGCTCAAGGATACTCTCATGCAAGGTTTCACGGTTCCCCAACTCAACGCATATGTTGAGACGTGGAACTCGGCCCGCCAATTCAAAGATCCGGGAGATGCCAACACGACAGTCCCTCCCTGGATTTTGGAGATCCGCCCATGGGTTGCGGCCGCTGAAAACACCACGCCAGATCTGGATGGAAAGCTTTGGGGTTACGTTTCCCAAGGGGCTCCTCCCAAAGAGAAGCTGGTGGTGCGTTTGATGCGCATGTGCTGGGATCTGTCGTGCAGCAGTGTTCTCGAGGGACAAGGCTACTTGGATGTGAAGCTGCGAAAGGCCGAGTTTGACATGCTGACCCTTGGTGGCAAGAGGTGGTTAAGAGATATCTCGCGCACCCTGTTGAAAAACGGAAAGCAGATTGAGATGTTCCCCAGCTCGCAATACCTTTCGATCACCGCACCCAAACACACTGCTGACTTGATTCTCGACCGTCTCAACCAGCTGCTGTCCCACATGAAAACAGTTCAGTTCAACGCCAGCTTCATCACCCCAGGGCCTCTGGCGATCGAGCCGGCGGTTTTGAATCAGGTCGAAACCATGACAAACAGCATTATTCGTCGTAGCCCGTCCGGCGACAAGATCCTCGTCACCTGGATTCAGCTGCCTGGACGAGACGCAGTCACCGAAGACCACGGCGAGCAGGTGCTCCGTCTGTTGAGCTACGCCTACCGTGAGGACCCTCGTGCTTCTCGGTCTCTGGTTGAAACCCCCGAGGCTTCCTCCAAGGCTCGCTTTGTTCCCGAGGTGGACTGCGGTCCCAAGCTCCCCTGGCACGAGCGTAGCAAGTCTTGGGCCAGATGGACAGCCGCCACGAACAAGGTCCCACCAAAATCAACACGAGCAACCAACGATGAGGATGTTTCCCCCCCCGACCAAACGACAACAACCTCATCCACCAAAAACCCAATCCCCACCTCCATCGTCACCCACCCCGTCGAATTCAAAGACCGCACCGAAGCCCTCCCCGTCAACAAAGCCGACTACTCCCCCGGCTGGTCCCTCCACCCCAAAACCGACACCACCGCTGTTTTTGGCCATGTCCTCTTCTCCTCCGTCTCCCCCTCAACCACCGCCCCTCCGGCTCCCGATCTCCCTCGAACATTCGCCCCTGTCCTGCCCTGTGTCCGTTTCCTGTCTCTCGAATCCAACCTCAAAAACCCCGGGCTCTGGCACATGATCACAGTCCTCCGGTTCATCCCCGCCCCTGACACCGACCCATCCCTCATCTCTTCGGCCCCCAACTTGGAAGTTCGCATCGAGTCGGACCACCGCGAGATCAAAGAACTCAAGGACCTCCGCGCGGTGATCAACGACCACGACGCCGACCTCCCCCTCCCCGAATCACCCTCTGACGTGAGGCTTCATCAGACAAAGTACTATGATCTCCCGGGGACAGGGATCAAGGAGCACGCCGAGCCGATGTTTGAGTTCCTCAGGGACAGCACGCTTAAGCCGTGGGAGGAGAAGCTGGCGACACCGGCGAGTTTGGATGGGTTGAGGTTGCCGAGGAGATTGTTTGCTGGGAAGGAAGGGGAGGAAGCGGAGGAAGGGGAGGTGGAGATGGATTACATGTTTGCGGGACTGGAGATCCATCGGATGATCATGAGTGAGTGGGGGGGTTTTAGGATGCGGTATACGCATGTTAGCGGGGGGTTTCGGAGGGGGGTGAGGAGTGAGGTTGCGTTGGATGCGGTGCCTGTTGAGGCTGCCAAGGAGGGGGTTGTGGAAGAGGGGGTAGCCGAGCAGGAAGAAGAAAGGTTCCTGGCAGCGGAGGAGGTTATGGGGGAGATTGGGGAGGGGGCTGATTTGGTGGAGGCCATCGATGAGGCTCTGGTTATGGCTGAGCCGGCTGAGAAGCCGGAGGTCAAGGAGAAGAGCGTGGAAGAGTTGACAAGGGAGTATCTCGAGGCGGTGGGGAAGTTTGCGAGGGGAGAGGCGCTGGTTGGGGAGGATGGGTAGGTGAAGAAGGAGGGGGTGAAGTGGTTTGGAGACTGGGTGGGGGCCGGGGAAAAATAAGGAGTGGGTGATGGAAGGAAATCTGTTATGTGTATAAAAGCAACTGCATCTCTCTACTGAGGGTCAATGTACAAAGAAAGTGACGAGGAACGGTGGTGTGTATGATAGATCGTATGGTGGGCTGCATATAGAGAGAGGCATAAATAAACCGCATATGGGAACGTCACTTTGGACATTATCTTTTCACGCGAAGAATCGTTTTGCATGTTCCCGTATTGGAAACTCAATCACCTAGTATACAAAAACGTACAATAACTCATCGTTCTACACACCCCTCAAGCACTTTCCCCACCCCCAGCCCTCTTAGCCTCATTCCTCTCCTTCCTCGCCACCTTCTCCCTCTTCCTCGCCTGGTTCATACTCAGACTCGGCTCCCTCGCCAGCTCCATCGCCTCCTCCAGTTTCTTGGGAGTCACCTCGTCAAGCAACAACCTCCCCAAATTCCCCTTCCTCCACTCCTGAATAACCCAGTCGGCCGCATGTTCCATACTCTCATCTCCTCCCTTCCTCAACTTCCCCGTCCGTCTTGCCGCCGCCCTCAAAAACTGATGCACATCATTCGTCGGCCTCCCCATCCCAAACCTTTGCAGGTATGTCGTCTCCCTGACCAGGTTTAACCGATACAAGAGGTAGTCAGCCACAGTAACAGCAGGAATGATCCCGTCCTTTACACACCCCACCAGCGCCAGCTTCAACATGGCCTCCGGCTCAGAAACGTACGGCACAAACACACCCGGCGTGTCGACGATGAAAACCCCCTCCCCCAGCCCCATGCTCTCCGGATCGCCCGAGTCCTCCCCGGGAAGAATCCTAACCGGCGTCCCCAACTTTCTCGTCACGCCAGGTTGCGCCCCCGTCTTGGCCGCCTTGCCCAAATGTAGACTGTGACTCCTGAGTCTGTTCAGCAGGGTGGACTTGCCCGCGTTCGGCATCCCCACCACCATTACCCTCAGCCCAGTGAGGGAGTCCATCTCCCGTGCGACATCCCTTATCCCGTCCAGCAACGGCTGCAAAGACGCTCCATGAGGCCCCATACCCAAGAAAATGATGTCCTTTACATTATTCACCCTCGGCGGCCTGTGAAAGGTCCTCAAAACCCGAACGACATGCCCCGGTGGTTGCGTGCCCGGCACCGGTCGCCCGTGGGAAGTCATTTGCGCTGGGGGGGCGAGGTCCCGTTTGGTATAGACGATAATCCGTGATCTCGGGACACCGGCGGAGGTGGAGGATAGCGATTCTTCCAATACCGGGTTCCAAGAGGAGATTGGGACCCGGAAGTCTCGAAGCTCGAGGATGAGGCCCACGTTGGAGAGGGACTGGCGCATTTTGTTGAGGGCGGCGCTGTGATGGCCCAGAAAGTAGGATCGGGGGAGCGAGGTGGAGATTTCGAATTTATCCCTAGGAACAAAGCCCGTAAAATCGATGGGGATGGGCTCTTTCTCTGGTCGTGCTTGTTGTTGTTGTTGTGAAGCGGGTCCATGACCACGATGTGGTTTTTGATGAGGGTAACGGGTTGAGACTGGTGGGGGTTGTTCTGGTTTTGGCTTTGGAGCTTTTGATCTGAATGCCGCGAGCTCTTCGCTGGCATCGGAGGGGATGGCCCGCTGGTTGATCATGGTTGATATTGGGGTTATGGGGTTGGGTGTGGACTGAGATAGCTCAGAGGTCGCCCTGGAGGCTGCCCTCACGGCGGCCCGGGGACTTATCCGGGGCATGGTGAGAGGGCTGTGAGTCGATAATGAAGGAAAAGAAAGACCTGTTGTTGTGTGAGTTGACTGGTCTCTCAAGATCGACAGCTGGAGTCCTCAAAACAACACTTACTATGTGCAGAATGGCTGCGAGTTGGTATCGTTGGGATTTACATGCAGTTGATGAGAGAGGTCCATGAGATGCCAAGCCCTTCGATTTTTGATGTTGATGGAGCACGTAACGGGGTCAATGCACGGATACAATCATATTTACAGACTACTCATCAACACATGTTCGATGATGGATATCAATTCTTCCTCGAAACTTCTTTTGTACAATATGAACCACCACCCTAGATACACAATCCTTTCCCAAACCCAAAAAAACCCACCCAGCCGACGTCCCTCAAAGAATCCAAGATGTCCGCAGCAAGGGGTATTGCTAAAGTGTCCCGCCGAAGTAGTTGAGCAGAGAAGACAAATGAGAACAGCAAAGCTCTGCTTTTCGAGAATGTAAAGATGACCAAAAAGTTTCCCCGCGCCATCAGTGACTGGTTTCTGTGCTCGTGGTGCCTACGCCCGGTACCAGTGCCAAAATATGCCAATGAAAGATTACCCACCCCCTTGACCCAAACAAAACAAACCCTCCAGCCAACGCCGCCAATGCAAAATACAAAAGAGATAATGATATGCCCCCCCCCCTGAGTAAAGCCTTTTCTTCCAGCCTCCCATAAAACTATACAGCATATTCTTGCTGCCATTTGACCAACCGCCTCGTCAGGCTGTCCATCATTTCAACACATCCAAGCTCTTTGAACTCCCTTTCTTGACTCTCCAGTGCCGAAGTCGGCCCTGTTGTCGATGTGTTCTGGGTCGAATCATCGGTGGTGATACCGTTGGTGCCATTCGTTACCGCAGGTGCGCTAGTGGGATTGACAATAGCCGCCTTTGCCACGTCATTCCTCGCTGCGTCTTCTGCCGTCTCTCCAGCAAGCTCCACCTGTGTTCTGGAGATAAATTCCAGCAAAGCCGCTGCCCTCCTCTTCATGTCATTCATCGTGACTTTGCTGTTCATCCCACCTCGCGATCGAGAGTGTGCCGCCTTTCCGACGCCGTCTCCGTGGTGGTGCCCCTTTCCTGCCGGGGGATGCTCGTCTTTCTGGATATCTCGGGAAACCGACCGTGCCGGCGAGGCTTCGTCATCGCGCGTGTACTGGTTGCGCCCTTTTCGTTTGTGCGACTTTTTCTTGTCCGTCTTGGCCTGTGATATGGCAGGCGTGGGCGGCGAGTCAGGGGTCGGTTGCGATGCTGGAGGAGGCTGCTGCTGTTCTGGGGCGGAGGGCTGCTGAACAGTCTCTGCGGCCGTCTCGCTTGTGCTCGTGTCTCCGGTGACTGGTGCTACCGCCTTGCTGACTACGGCCCGAGCTGCCGACGGCAGCTCTTCTGAAGGATCTGAATCTGCATCCGTGTGAGCCTCGGACACCTTCACCAAACTCGTGGACGCCGTACCATCAGCTCGCCGACGTTCGGCCCTCCCCTTTCTCTTGTTCGCGGCCTCTTGCCGTTGTCTTTCTTTTTCCTCCTTTTCGGAAAGCTTCTCGTTCCGGTTATTGCGTGCGCCGCCGCGCGGCTTTGACTTGTTCCCGTTTCGACTAGGACCTTTGGGATCGTCCGATTCGTCGGCCGTCTTGTCGACGGATGGAGACACTGATCGAGAGCTGGTGCGTTGCCTTTTGGCACCCTCCTGCTTCCTTTGATCAAAGTTAGCAACGCTACTGACCGCAGCCAACGGCACTTACTCCTCGCTGTCGCTTCGCCCCCTCTTAGGCCGCCTAGGAACGCCCTCGGGCTCGAGATGAGCTTCCTCTTTGCTGGCCTCAATGGCCCTTCTCAGAGCTTCCGCTTCGTCATAAGCAGCCTCGCGGCTGTTCATAGTCGACCGCCGTTTCGAAGCTTGGTTCGCCGAGGTGGCTCGTCCGCTTCGCGCTTCCTTCTCTTTGGTGGGCGATCGTGTGCCTTCTTTGTTCAGAGACGCAGATCTCGACGAGGTCCTCGACTGTCGGCGCAAGGGAAGATAGAAAGAGTAGGTATTCCTGCGAGCCACGATGTCAGCAACTTGATTGATTGATGGTCTGTGACCTCCCAACGCCCGGGGATGGTGCAAGCTGGTGAAACATGATCTCGGGTCTGCGTTCAGCTGTTGAGCACAGCTGAGCCCAGCGTCCCAGCGCGATCACAGAACGGTATGGAAAAGATTCATACTTACCCGTTGGAAGCTGTCCACAATTTGTGAAGATCACGGCGACAGAGCTCGCAAAAGTACTCATCGGGACCGGGATTGGTCATGATTCCAACGCAGCCACCGTGCTGCCAAACTTTGCAAACATCACACTGCACGAAAAACCCGGCGACATCATCCGTGACAGAAGCTAAGAATATTGGGTCAATGTCCACAGCCCCCTTGGCCCCATGTCTAGGTTCATCTTCCAGGGGTGGTGGCCCTGGGTACTCCTCATTGCCGCACACGCAGCGAACGGCCTCGTCCTCTTCTTGAATATCATCGTCGGCGCTGGTCATGTCGGCCGCTTCGGCCTTGACGCCAGCTCTGTCCCGATCGTCACCCTGTCCACGGGTTCGACGGCGTGTGGCGAATGTATCGTCGGCAGTGATTGTATCTTCCGGTGGTTCGGAGGACAGCGAGCCAGCGGATGCCGATTTTTGTGGAGAGCCAGCTTTGTTGAAGTGCCTCGAGCTGCGTTCCGGCCGCCCCGAGGCACTGGAGCTCGATGAGGATACTTGTGACTGTGACTGGGTAGCGCGCGCCCTCGAAGACCGTCTGGGATCGAGTCCTGCCATTGCTTGCCACGTGAAGCCGCTCCGAGAGGGGCAGTAAAAATGCGAGAGTGTAATGGAGGTGCAGGCCTGTACGCAGGTGTAAGGGGTGCGCGAAGGGGTGCGCGAAGGGGTGCGCGAGTGTGTGGGCAAAGCGGCGCTTAATCGGGGATGCCCTAGCGACACGAGATCTGACGACCGAGGCTGACCGACAGGATTTCTGAAAGTTCAAGTCTCGTATCGAATAGTTATGTAGACGTCGAGATCGGGTGATTACGAGAATGTTCGAGTTTGTCGAGGTTTATGTGGACGATTCGGCCAAGATGGGTGGAAAGGTCGAGGTAATGTTCGCACCACCGTTGGTGCAAAAATGGGCGAAGCGCGACACAGTCTGTCGTGATGTGATTCTGCCACCAGAACTCAAAATACTGCAGCCGAAGGATAGTAGTGTAGAAATGTACCCAGATATCTGTCGGGCTCAACAGAATACTCGGTTCTCGAGGCAGGGTGCTCTCCAGCAAAGGGTGTCGGGTCTGCTGGAGAGAAGATGTTGGTGCCGGGCCGAGGGACGACAGATCCGAGAGCGAGCTCTGAGAGAGGGTGACAGCACAATGTAGTGCCCCCAAGAGTCCTGCTGGTGCTCAATTGTCAAGAGCTGGGCAGAAGCTGAAGAGATGAGGGTGTTCCGACAAGGGGAGGAAAAATGCGACGCGGTGGTTGAGAGGACAACTAGGGGCGTCGAGATGGCTGGGCGCAGCGGCGAGCGTGGTGCTAGGTTAATCTGCGAAGGTATGGGCGGAATCCACAGTGTCTCTTTGGAAAAGAAGTGATTCTCATGACTTCAGCCACTGCAGAGACAGGATGGATGTCCAGCGACAGGTGAGCGCGAGAAAGTCGGTGGTGAGAGCGGTAGGAGGAGGAGGAGGAGGAGAGGGCCAGATGGGGGAGACTGGACTGGAGCGAGTGGAAGCGACTGGCAGAAGCGCTCTGGGGACCCAGCAGCGCACCACCACATTTTCCCCGAAGCGTGCTCCAGCAATTTTTGGCACCGCACTTGGGCCATGCGGGGCCAGCCTGGGAGCTCTGCCCCAATTCTTTCTACAGCGTACACTTCTTTCAAGAGTACCATGCTTTGCAAGTGCACCAAAGATGCCAATTGCTGTTCGTGTGTTTCCAGCCACCATAGTGAGCAGGATAATTGAAGGCAGCTAATCTCCCATTGACTGAGAAGCAATTCCCCCACAAAAATTGATCCCCTTAAGCCTCTACACGAGTTCTTCACAACCCTCTCTGGAGTACCTTTGCAGCAGGTACGAAATCTGGTCAAGTGGATTCGATCCGAATTCGGAAGTTTTGTGGACCTTTGGCGCTCTTGCATCAACATACAGGCGGGATGGAACAAACGCGCCAACATGACATCAGTGACTAAGGCTCACCAAAGCCAAGAGGCATGTGGTGGTGCTAAAGTCAATAGATACCTAGAGATCCAGCCAGGTCCAAACAAACCTGACTCAACTCTTTGGGCTTGGACATGGCTGCATTTTTCTCATACATAATAGAAGTATAGTCTGCCTTGTCCTGCTAAGAAAGGACTATACAGACCATCACATCTGCCCCATGACAACATTTTCCCCTAAGACCTTTTGTGAATGAGCATGCCTCGAAGCCATCATTATAACCGCTTTAATAGCTGATTAGCTATCTATGGAGATCTGTTAATTATCCTCGGAGTGGTTCTGACTATCTTTCAACCGTGTTCCAGTATGTATGATATACCAGGCTTGTCGATCCGTAACAGAACAGCGACACGTGCAATGTCCATGTCTGGTGAGAGTACAGCATTAGCCAAGGCCTCCCCCATAACCACCAGCCAGTCCCTCTGCATATGTATCCGACCATGGCTTCTCTGTATCAAATCCCTTTTAGCTCTCCCAGTAGAATTCACGGCCACTGTTGAATTAACATTCCCAAGCAGGGGTGTCGAAGCCCTGGAGGCACACAGTGTGTGGATGGACGTGCGTCAGAGCCCCGCGCTAGCAGCTCACGGGATATTGTCGGATACGCTAAAACGGACGATAAGATGTTGTTGATAAGGAGGAGGGGTGGGCAGTCCGGCCGGATTATGTAATTTGTCCTCGAGTAGGTCGTGGACTGCCAGCACTGAACACTGTTCGCTCGCTCATTCTCCGTTCACCTGCTGAGCACTCATCAAAACATCTTCGTTTCCATCGACTTCCACTTTGATAGCTTCATTACTGCTTAGCATCCTTTGGTTTCCCGAGTTATTGCGAGCCTCTGGTTTTCCAATTTGCTATCGACTTGCAGGTGGGTTGCCCCAGGCAGTTGATCAGCCCAGACTCGGCACCCTTCTCCCTAGCTCCCTCGCTTTCAAATGGCCCTTGGTGGTGGTGTTGCCCCTCATGGTTGCTCTCAGCCGAGAATGACAGCGACAGAGGACAGGACACCTGGACAACTCTTGCAGTTGATGCCATTGAGGGACTACTGCTAGCGGGTGAGTTGATTGTAAGAAAGTGGAGAGCGCTGACGCATCATTTGGGCAGACGGCCGACCCCGGTGTCGACGACCTCAAAGGAGCCAACCGAGACTCCCCTCGCCGAGCTTGCCTTGTGGTGCCTCTTGCTAGCTACCTGCTGCTGCCAGCCATCACTGAACGAAGCAAGCGAGAAAGGATAAACCATCAAGTTTGTTCAATTCCAGACGAAGCAAACCGATAGAATCAAGGAGGGGTATATCTGCGGCCGGTTGTGGTAGTCAGGCCTGGTTGTTCAGCTATCGACTGGCACTGGCTCTGAGGGTTTGGGGTACTATGTAAATCTTGTCGGGTAGGTTGATGCGCTCCTTCCCATGTTGGACCCCTATCCCACGGCAGCACCACCCATGGCATTTTGGGAATCGCAATACTTGCGGATGCGAGAGGAGTGCCGTTGCCTTTTGCAAAGTCGCTGCTTGCCCTTCTTCCCTTCCACCACCTCGTCAGCAACCCTTTCCTCCCCCAAACATGAACCAAGCGCCACCTGTCATGTGGCAATTTCCTGATCTGCCGGCTTCTCAAGGCTTCTGGATCACCCTCCTCACAGTTCTGCTCGGTTTCCTCGCCGGCCAGTGGATTCTCAAGCTAACCTTGTCGACTTATCGTTCGACCATAGGACGTGAACATTCTTCCAAAATGTCTGCCGACACGGTGTCTACGCTGTTTCCCGGTCGACCGATACGGCCCTTGCCGAAGAGACCGTTGCGGGAACGCCTCTCGGCCGAAGTCGCCAGCTCGATCCAGTATCCTCGAGTCCCGCAGACCGTTCACCCGCTCTTCTCATACCCCTGCCCACCGGTAGATGCTCAAGCGTCTCAGTTGTCCGGGCTCACCGGCGAGCCTGGCCAACAGTCACGAGCTGGAACCGGAGCAGATGATGCTTCGATCAGGCGGGCAAACCGAGTGCCTCTCGACTCCACAAGCCGTCTCTCACGCCCCGTGGTCAAGACCGAGTTCAGCAGGCACGGAATACCATACCCTCCGAATTCAGCGTCATCTTCAGCCGATGGATACGACACCTTTGAGCACACCAACAACAAGAAAAAGCGCAAGATTCCATCAGCTGCCGAGATGCTTTCGAATGGAGCACATCACAGCAGCGAGTCGCTTCCAAGCTCTGGTTCACTTGCTGTGCAGCCTTTGGACGCCCATGACGAAGAACCGCCTGGGTGTACAACCTATTATGGACCTGGATTCCGAGGAACGTACGGCATGTGCAATATGTACAACGTGGCGGGGCCAGGTCGTGGCCGGTATGGACGTCCGAGAAGCGGGCGGAGTCCGCTCCGGCCACTGCCGGATACGAGTAACAGTTGGGTCGGGAGAGTCAAGGCACGTCCGGTGCAATGGGGTGGCAAGCCACCAAGTAAGTCTTTACAACTCTTTGCTATTCTTTGACAGGGCATAAACGTTGACCTTCATCTCAGCCGAAAACACTGGCATCATTTCCAGTGCCATTGCCAATGCTGAGAAACTGCCCCCTCATCAAGGCCGAGAAAACATCAGTCTTCTGAACCAGCAACTGAATACGAAACGGACTCCAGCAACCAGCCAGTTCACATTCACTTGTGGTTCGGCAGTAACGGCTTGGCCCGGCCGAGTGATGCCACAACAGTCTATGAACATTCGTCCACCTCTGGTGAACGGCGTCCGTGGCACCCAGGTGTCTCAAACCGCCTACGCTCCATCAACCCTGCCCCAGCCTGCGCATGTTTTACCAAAAGACACGGCTGCCAAGTCAGCAGGCAACACCCATGCACGACCGGTTGCCAATCCCAAGCCCGCTCGCCGCAACGCTGCCACCGAGTACCTGGCCGCTGCCAGAGCACGCCGTCAGGAAAAGCAAGAAGAGAACAGACGGCATCCCCCCAAACCCGAGGATATTTGGATCTGCCACTTCTGCGAGTATGAGGACATCTTTGGACATCCGCCCGAGGCTCTCATCCGTCAGTATGAGATCAAGGACCGCAAGCAGCGGCAGCTGGAGCAGCGACGTCGAGCTCAATGGGAGAGGATGAAGAAGGGCAAGCACAAGGGAAAGAAGAACAGCAAGCTTCACAACAAGAACAATAATGCTGTACAAGAGCCTGCGGCCGTTGACAGCCAAGGGGCATCCGACAGTCAGGGCACGCAGAGCGAGGAGAACTATAACGACGACGAAGAGTGCGAGGATAAGGAGTGTGAGGGCGAAGATGCTGGGTATCCCGACTGTCCCGCCGAGGTGCCTGGCCGCCGTCAGCAGTTCCCGATCCGGCCTGGCGGCAACCATGACATACCGGGCACATAACCCCGGCCCCCTCCCCCAACTTTTACCGGCAACCCTCTCATTTCTCACGGCAGCATGGATAAACGTTTTCAAGTTGCGCATACGGTCTGCGCGCATAATATTGTTAGTTGGTCATTCTGAGCCATGAGGTATAGGGTTGGCGGGCGGATGGACCGGAGGGGGCATCCTTTTCCACCACAATAGCGTCATGTTAGACTGATGTACTGCACCGCACTGCACCACTGCTTTTCCCCCCACCACGCTCCCCTCTTACTGTACAGCATGTACGAAGCAACACACCAAAACAGGCCTTCTATTGCTCTAACCCCCTTGTTTAAGAACCGGATCACCTGTTTTAGTCTTGACTCTCATGTTGGTTGTATTAGTATTGTTTTACTGGGGGGAGAAATAGATAGATTGGCGGTAATACAGACTTCTTGATGCGTCATGATGTAATAAGTCGATGAGAGCTGAGAACTTGGATGCGATTGAAGATTGGACGAGATGTTACGAGACAGCTATTCCATGTGACGGTCTGAGACCAGGGGCCTCTCTGGTGGTCAGAGGCCATTGGCTTCTAGAAGCATGTGTGGAAAACGTGGAGATAGTCGCATCAAATCGGCACTTGGAATCTGATGCGCCAGTAGCGCCAAATATCCGTCTGAATGCCTTGAGAAGGTACCTACCCAAGTGCAACCTCAGTGAGATGGAAGGGCCGTTTTGCACATGGGCATGAGTGGAAGTAAAACGGAGGCGGAGAAGCCGCTGAGTTCGTGCGCCGGCTGCGGTGGTACGTAGGAGGCGCTGATCTGTGAGTGACCACGTCAAGGTACACCTGTTAAGGAAGAGGTATATGGGTGCTATCTTTTGTTTCCGAGTGAGTCCGACACTGACTCTATCATCGATTGAAGATGACCATAACCTGGGACTTCCAGAGTGTAGAGTCATGTATATGTAGAGGAGACACAGCAAATGCGAACCCACACCTAGTTAGCTGACGGGACTGGGCCTGACAAGAAGGAATGGGTTGACCGCTCACCAGTAGGTCACCAACCAAGACGTGGTGTCTCAACCACAGTTCAACTGATGTCGTGTTTCCACTCTTTTGAGCAACTGCAGCCCTGGTTGATGTCGCATAACCAACAGGAGGCAGATGCCCCAGTAGGGTTGAGGGTGGGTGTCCACTCGAGGCTGGACCAATTGCTCGCGAATCGGGATGGCGTGGAGAGCTCTGATTTACAAGATGAGTTAGCGCAAACCACACCCCCCCCCGGCTTTGCTGCCGACCAAGATGACGGGGCTTACATGGACCATACGACACCTAAAACAGCTTGGGGGGAGCTGCGCCTTCCCGTCATCAAAAATCCCGTCCCGTCTTGGGATCTCTTCCTTAGTTCTCACGCAATCCCACCTTGTCGCAAACACCAACACGCGCGAGTTTGTCTCTCTCTCTCTCTCTCTCCCCCTCTCTGCCGCCTCCATCGAACCCAGCGATAAGCCTATGACCGTCTCATCAAGGTAGCCTCACAAGCCCGGGCAGGCCTAATATCTGCAAGGATGTTTGGCTCCCGAAGGCATCCTCGGCCGCCCAATCCGGTATGTCGTCATTGTACTTTGTCCCTACCGCGCTGCTTTGACGCACCTGTCCCCGGATGCAATGCCGCCACAGCGACAGAGTCGACTGGCATGGAGTCTCCTACATGGCTCGAGCTTTGCGAAGCATCATGAAGCCATTGAGATTGCTTTATTGTTCAGAAAATACCTGTTGTGGGCACCTAGTGGTTCCTGCCAAGAAATTTGATCGAAGCTGGCGCGGTGATATCGCGACGACCAAGAATCCCAAGCTGATATGCCCTTCATCGTGCAGCCCTTGACAGCGGCGACTGTTGATCCAAATGCTGCCACGGCTGCTGCTGCCGTCTTCAAACGCCATGAGTCCAACTCTACATTATCAGCTGCCGCTGCCGCCGCTGCTCTTCGCGCGCGACCCATGACGCCAACACGAGTGGCCGACGTGCAAACAAAACGAACCCTACGCCGCAGCGCATCGGTCGCCTCATCGTCGCGAACGGAATCACCAATAACAAAAGGCAGACCGAACCTGCAACGGCGCGGAAGCAGCGGGTCCATGACCGAGCGAACGTTTCGAAGTCCAAGTCCACATCGACCCGGTGGTAGCGGAGGACATCGACAGACGCAATCGCTCAGTCACGACGCCCCTCCCGTCCCAGCCCTCCCAAAAGATATCGGCGCGTCACCACAAACCCAGCATCGCAAATCCAAAAGCCTAGGAATGGGGACCACCCCTGTACGACTTGCGTCTCAGAGACTTGGTTCAGAAGATGCGCCGTCTTGGTTTGGGGCGGCCAAGGTCGGCGACCCTTCCAATATCCGTAGGACGGATCCTGCTATGGCCAGCCCTCCATCAAGCCCACCACAGATCCCACGACAAGAGCAAGAGATGGTGTCTGAGATTGCAAGGCCTGATAGTCAGGCGTCGTCGATAAACTTCTCCTACCCAACGCGAACGAGAGTTGGCTCTCCCCCAGTGTCCCCCACAGAAGCGCCTGCTTCTGTCGGTAGTTCGGCTCGTTTCAGCCTTCCGGCATCTCCTGTGGAGGCCGGGTTGCCTGCGCAGATGTCGCGAACCAGAGAGCAACCGGCCCGTCAAGCACTGGTGGCGAGTCCAAGAACTCGGTCTACCTCGAATCCCGCCCCCGACGAAATTTTGGTATATGACCCCAACTCGAGACGCATGGTCCCACGATCAGAGCTACATCCGGCACATCATGAAGCCCCCCAACAACGCACCGACTCGAAAAGGAAAAAGAGGACATCGCAAAAAGCTGGATCACATCTCGCCGCAGGGACAGTGAGCCGTCCGAAAGGCACAGCGGTCGACAATTCTCCAGCGACCAAGAACCAATCACAGATCACGCCGGCCCCCGTCCAGGAGCGCACCCATGTGCCCCAGCCGCCAGTATACGTGCAAGATCTCGAGGAACCATCGGTCAAAGCCATCATCAGCTCACCAAGATTGGATGCGAAGAGGCTTGAGCAACATGGCCCTCCACCAATGACCCCATCCAGCCCTCAGGTCAGCAAGGAGGCGACTTGGCAAGGGGTCAGGAGACAGCCTTCGGTCGTTAGGGAGGAAGCGGAGCCCGAGGAGCCAAAGCCAAACCACATCCCAACAAGCTCTTTGACACAGGCCCTAGATTCTGTTCCAACACGGCAAAAAGCGGGTTCCACACCGGAACCGAGGGGATCACCTTTCACACAAGTGTTGGATGCAGTCCCAACAAGGCAAAAGACGTACCCAAATACTGAGCTCGAGGTCCCCTCTGTCGAAATATCGAAGCCAGCCAGTCCAAGCCCCGTACGAGGTGGTCGTTCGCCAGTTGACACGAGACGGGCTCAAGTCGCACATGAACGCAGTCACTCTAATAGCCCTGTTCGACAAGCACACTTTGGGCCGGTCCAGGAAAACTTGACAGTTAAGCACTCGCCTCCTCCTCGGTCGATCTCGCCGCGCAAATCGGCCCTTAAGCACTCGAGCCCCTCGAGAGGCGCGTCGCCTTCGTCGTCCGAGGCATCTGTAAGTGGCAATCATGAGCCACCTGTTGGGCGCAAGAAGTCCGTGCGTGTCAGTTTTGACGATGCTAAAGATGTTGTGAGCACTTCGCCGGACAACCGCGCCACGTCACCGCTCTCCGCCAGCCCTCCAGAGGCCGGCCGTCAGCGATACTTCGGCCTTGTCAAGAAAGACATCCCATCTTTGGATGATGATGAGATCATGAAGCCCCGGCCTGCGTTGCCGAGCTTTGGAAGCATTCGAGAAAGGAAGCCCCGAGATGCACAACCGGAGGAGGATGCGGAACGACCGCTTGTTCGGCCGAACGCGGAGACAACACATGCTTCTACGGGACCTTCAGCGACAGGACTTCTTCCCAGTCCATCACTGGGCTCCAGCAATGACCACGCGCTGGGTGGAATCTTTTCCCAAGAATGTGACGAGGGCCGTACACATGCTGCAAATACCTCGAGGCTCAGGGAACCTCTGCCTCCTGTTGTTACTAGCGTCGAGGGCAGTGGGTACATCAGCGACACGGACAGCGACAGCTCTCTGGCTACCACTCAGTCGGAACACGAGCCGGCCGAGGTCTCCAGCCGTGACTTTGCCCCTCGGCAGCCACTTCAGACTCAATTTGAACTGTCGAACGGCTCAGCCAGCCCACAAAGCATCCCTACTGCTGTTCGGCAGGCCTCGGTCAATTCAGCACCGAAGCAAGAAGTTCCACATATAGCTGTCATTCAGCCGACACCACCTGCGATGGCTGAAGATAAGTCACTCAAGGAAGAGTTCTTCGACGTGCCGGGAGGCTTCCCGGAGGATGAGTCCGATCAGTCCGTTCCTCAGCGGCCTGAGCCCGCCATGGTCGAGGTCCCGGAAAGTCGGCCGGCAGTTCAGCCTTCGACGCAAACCATCTCTTCAGCTGTTCACGATACTACTGATTCCGAAAGCAGCATCTATAGCGATGCGTGTGAGGACCTTTCCGATATTGAGGGCAGCGGCTTCTTGTCGCTCGATGCCGTGGTGGAAAGCCCACTCCGACCGGATCCCAGCTCTCGCCAGCCTCCGAAAGAGCTACATGCTACCGAAAAGCCCGTCGAGGCAACGCCCAAACTCCAGACCGAGATATCGACAGCCACGACTGCCGTTGAGACCCCACACGCAAGTCCGCCTGCGAGTCCACCCACAGAGAGCCCGCAGGATGAGTGGGAAAAGGTGAAAGCATACTGGCGAAGTCTCAGTGCGGAGAAGCGAGCACAGCTGGAAAAGGAGGCACGAGAAGAGGCCGGGGTCGAGGCCGATCTGGATCAGGTGCAATCTGAACCGAAGCCAAAAAAGAAGAAATCGATTGAGAGAAGGAGTTCGGAGCGCAAGGCGTTGGCCTTGCACATGGCACAGCAGATGGCAGTCCAGCACCAAAGAGAGCAGGAGAAAGCTGTGGCGAATCCCGAGCGCAGTTATATGATCAAGCCTGGGACGAAGTGGACCGAAGAGGAAGTTGCCATCCCGACAACCATGAGGAAGACTCTGCGCAGCGAACCTCAGCAACAGTCTGCTCCTACCCAAGGTCCCCGTCTGCGCAAATCACTGCGATCAAGCAGTGCCGACACCAGGAGGTCTGACACCAGACCCGCGGACATGAGTCCAGCTAGGCACCCAGCACCGAGTGCTGCTGCTGCGGCAAGCTCTGCATCTACTGAGAGCCAGCGACGGGCAGCGGCAAGCCCCCCTGTCACGGCTGTCCCGACAACATTGAAACGCCGCGACTCTAGTGGTAGTGAAAGCAGCTTCAAGAGGTCGAGGCCGAGAAGCGGGTCAGCCACCGGTTTCCGCATGACCATGAGAGCGACTTCGCCACCTACTGACCTGCCGTCGAAGAGGTTTTCGATGACATCTGTGTCCTCCAAACAAAGTGTGGAAGTTCCAGCTCCGAGCACTCAGATGCGTAGAACATTACGCGACTCGTCTACTGAGGGAAGAAGGAGTCCGAGCGGGATGCGTATGCCAAGTTTTGGGAAGAAGAGTGGTGCCAAAGTTACAAAGAATAAGTCGGGGAACAAGTTTTCCAGTCGCTTCGCCGACTCGAGTGATGAGGACGGAGGGGCCAGTGGCTTCCAAAGTCGGTTTGAAGATTCTAGCGATGAAGATGATATCGCCCCGGCGCCGCTCCCCCCATTGCCAAAGTCTAAGTCGGCCCCTAACGGGGTAGGTGTTGGCCGTGGTTCTGTTGCCAGCACGGCCTTGTTGGAGGAGCTCGAGGAGTCAGAGGAGACACCGGCTGTCAAGACGAATGGGACAACCAAACCAGCGGTCTCGAGCCCGGCTGGCCAGCCTCCCTTGACGGTGGACACCTCTCTCCGCCGTGTCCGCTCTGGCAAGGGTAGCATCCTTCGCACTTCTCAGACCGCCCCTGCACTGGGAGCTGAGACAGCCTCTCTTGTCTCAGGGGCCGCCCCACCCGCCGATGGCAAACGTGCCGCGACTCGTCGCAGCAGTCTGATGTCTGTCCTCCGCCGCAAGAAGCATGATTCCTCCTCTGGGGGGATCGCCCGCAGCAGCATGGACAGCCCGGCGAGAAGGGACACCAAACTCGAGCGCAACGCCAGCCAGCTCAAGGCTGCCAGAGAGCAGGATGTCTCACCCACAGTGGAGGAGCCACCCGCTGCCGAGGGCGAGCCGGAGCCTGAACCAGCGGTAGTTCAGACCCCGCCACCGCAAAGAAGCCCCAAACTTCAAAAGAGGATGGGGATCTTCGGACACAGTCACAGTCAGAGTCAGCAGCAGCCTCCGCCGCCCAGGATGCAGATGCCGCAGGATGATGACGAGCCAAAGAGACCTTCTACAAGTGGGAATCTGGGCACTCGGACGTTGTCTGGTGGAATCGGGGGTGGAAATCTCGGGACGGGTCTGGTGCAGCATCAGTTGCAGCAGCGGACGGCTTTTTCGACGGGTGCTCCGAGCGTGGACGGGAGTAGCGTCACTGGTACCGCGGATGGGGGCACGCCGAAGAAGAAGAAGAGGTTTAGGGGGCTGAGGAAGATGTTTAGGCTTGACGAGTAGGGTTGTTGATGCCAAGAAGGGAACAAATTGTAGGATATCATCAGGGTTGGGTACTTTTGGATGGAAAAACGGGAACTCTAGGGAAGTAAAGAGACGGACACGGAAAAAGTATACTTGGCAACGAGTACTTACGAGTATGCATACATACCATTTACTTACCCGCCCGCGCCCCTCCCCCCTTGCGCACACAAGATGGAGAGAAAGAGAGGAGTAATAATGGATAATGACGGGAAGATTTGGGGGGGTTGGAAAGGGACGATCAATCGTTTAAGCCTGGGAGGCGTGAATAAACTAGTTGGGGAAAGTTGGGTTTGGAGAGCAAACAAAAGTGTTACTATACTATACCCCTTTGCACCGATGGATTCTTAAATTTTTTTTTTTTTGGGGGGGGGGGGGTTTCTTGGTGATAATAATATATTGTTTCATATCATCAATGGTTGTGGCGTGCCCCCTGATCCAGCGACCCTGATCTGTAGTTGACTTCACAAACAGGAGATGGCTGTCAAAGTTGGGGTGGTACGGTGGTAGTTGGGGCAAAATGCAACCAAAAGGGGGTTAAAAAAGGGGTTAAGGAAACTCGATGTAACGTTTTGAGGATGGGCAGTAAATGGTAGGTCAAGCCAGAATAGAAACAAAGGCCCCCCCCCTCCCTGGTGAAAAATCTAGTCATAATTGCGCTTCAAGTCCATCATCATCATCATCATCATCATCATCATCATCATCATCATCATCATCATCATCATCATCATCATCATCATCATGCACACGCTCGATCCTGGTTCTCTTGATGGCAGCACATAAGACAAGCCTTATTTCTGGGCAGGTTCGTGTCCCGGAATATATGTATGTATTCGTAACCAAGGAAAGAAGAGGGAACTTTGAGGGTTGTCAACATGAACAAATGTAATCATCAACACATGCTCCTCCCCTTACCACCGACCGACAACACACATAAGGGTGCTCAAGCTTCAAAAAGCAAAAACAGACTTCATTAAAACTGTGGCCCCCCTTCCACCTCTCTCGTTTACCAAAACTACGACAACGGGGTATCTGTGACCTGCCCTTGTGCCTTGACCAAACCAAACTTACCAAACAAACCAGACCAAAACCATATCATCTCGTTGTGCCC